CACAGGGCAGTCATACGGTGTCCTCTGCTGGCCCCTCATTGGCTAGTCGGTCGGCGGAGAGGCGGCCGCTCTCGGGAGCAGAGTCTCTGCTGTGCGTTACCAACGGCGAGAGTCGCCAATGGTAACGCACAGAACTGCCTGTGTGTGCTCTATGTGTTGTCTCCTGTTTGTCGCTGGTTGTCGTTACCGTGGTAGCTCTTCACCTGAAACTTCACCGAAGCCCTAGCAGCGTACAGCGGTAGTTTACTTGCAAGATATCGATTGGCTAGAAGGAAGCGAGCGGGCGCATATAGCGAGACTTTGAGCTAGTGCTCCTTGGTCTTTCTTTCTTTTTGAGAAGAGAGAAAGCGAACGAAAAAGAGCTCCAAGCTGGGAATCACTGCTACCGCTGAGCAGCAGTGATCGAGAACTCGGTGAGCTACCGCAAGATGAAGGTGATAAGTAAGAGAAAAAATGGAAATGAAGAATCGGAAGCGGATATGGCTGCTGCGAGGAAACCGCTGCTGTGTGTGTGTCTGATTAATCACCTACCTGCCAGCTGGGGTCCGCATTGCGGTAGTAGAGAAAGTTCTCCTTGATCCATTTGTAGATCGAGCTGAGGGTCATCTTATTTCGATTCGCCTTCATCGCCATGCAGATGAGCGTCGCATAGGAGTAGGGCGGTTTGACAGATCCATCCACCTTGTAGTCCACTTCTTCCTCCACAATGGATGCCGACTGGGCGGACAGTTGCTGCTGTTGGTGCTGGTGCTGGTGGTGGTGGTGGTTGGCACTGGTCGTGCTCTCCTGCTGTGGCGTCACAGTCATAGCGATCAGCGTTGAGGAAATGGCTGCCGCCGTCGCCTCAGCAGTGGCTGGAGCAGGCACTGCCGACCCTGTCACGGCAATTGCCACTTTCTTGCTCCTGCTTGAGGCTGCTGACTGTCGATTGCCCTGACTGGAGGAGCCTCGCTTCTTCCCGCCTGGCTCCACTCGTTTCGGGTTGCCCGACGATGATTGTGCTGCAGCGATGGAGGCTGCGGCTGCGGCTGCAGCGGCTGCCACTGCTGCCTCGCACTGTGGCCCCGTGACAGCGCCAGCAGCAGAAGCACAGGCGCTGCTTCGCTGATGACGATGACTGCCACCGGTGGTGCCCTCGACGGCGCTGCTCATTTGGACGGCACCACCTTTGCTCAGAGCTGAACTCACCGAATTGCTGCTACCCGTTCGGCGGTGCTGACTGGCCTGCTGCTGCTGCTGTTGGGTGCCCAGAGTTTGCGGCGGCTGATGGTGATGATGATGTTGGTGATGTTGTTGCTGCAGACCAAAGCAGAGAGGACTAGCTGGTGGAGTGGGCGGTGTGGGAGCGCCCAGGCGAGTCATGCACATGTTGAGATTTTGGAGCCAGCTTAGGCTTGTTAGGCCGTCGTCCACGTTAGAGGACACTCCGTCGGACTCGTTGGGATGGCTGTGGTTGGCGGCTTCGGAGGTGGTGGCCATGATCTGCAAATTGCTAGGATCACCTTTCTCACGCCACTTGAGAGTTGGGTGCTGAAAATTGCTGGTTGTCACTGACATCACTGCCTGTCGAACAGTTGCAGTAAGGGAAGGAAAGAAGGAAAAAGCGAAAGTTAAACTGCGGTCTCGTAGAGTTAACTGCTGGGCAGGCTGTTGTGACGGTGGCAGTCACACCGGTGAATTCTCGCCTGAATTCTGTGGGTAGTGTTAGTGATAGTGGAAAGCAAATTGGGCACTTCGAATTGTGGCAATGAGTGTTCACTGTAGAATCGCAATTGTTCACTCATTGACCATGACGCCGTCATTGAGTGTGCTTTCGGCAATGCAGCCAACAGCAGCCTCAACTCACCGCTACATTCAAACGGTGCACAGCTATCTTCTCCATTCTCCACCGGGGCAGCCCGCATCTGAACTGAACTCAGTTCATGACCGCTGTGCAGCCGTCATAAGCTCGAGAGTGTGATGCTTAAATGCATCCTCATCTGACAAATGATGGTGACAACAGTCAGAGAGGGAGAGAGGGAGAGAGATTGTCGATGTGACACGTCTCACTGCCTCGAGAAGTGTGTCCACTGAGGGCGCATATCGTACCACCGCCATACGGTAGGTATGCACGCGCTCTGGCCAGCATCAGTGACCAGCAGCATCCGATCGGAGACACTGACTCACTCTGACTTGGCCTGAGCGCACGTGTCCTCACATCCAAAGAGAGGGGGCACAGACGCGTGCTCTGACTTCTGGCCAACCGTCTTTTTACCTGGCCACCGCGACACACACACACACAGTCACAATCGACCATTTCTAATTGCCCTCTAATCGGCCCGTTTGACGCGTTGCGCTGACTTGCTCCCTCCAGCCGCTGCGTGCTGCTGAGTGACTCTAATCAAGTGCTGATTGCAAGTGCTGCTGTAAGCTGCTCTGTTCTGCTGGCTTCTGTTCTAGCTAGTCGTGTGACTGGGCGAGCGGTAAAAAGGTAGAAAAATGAGTGCATTTGCCTCCCACAGTGGTGAAATGGCGGTGAATTGAATTGACTGCGTACACTGCTGCGGACAGTAATCCACATCCAAGTCTCGGGAAGTCTGGGGGACCAAGGTGACCGAAGCTCGAGACACAGTGGGCAGAAAGCAGGCACCAGGTGAGTCAGACTAACCGAACTGAACTGACTGCCTGATGGCCCGAGCGAGTCAGCGAAGCGAGGGAAAGTGAACGTGCCCTCGGTTCAGTGGACACATCGACTGGCACAACGACTGGCAACACACTCGGAACGAGGAGAAAGCCTCTCTGGGTGCGTGTGTCTCGCAGCACAGCTAGGTATTTCGCTAATTAAAATGTATCCAAACTGAGAACGCAGCGGAATTGCGTCAAGGGGGCGGACAGAGGCAGTCAGCGGAGGACAAAAGGCGGACAATAGACAGACAATAGTGGACGGCCAAAGAGTCACAACAAGAGTCAAAGGTGAATCGGCATGATAGATTGGCTTTCACAATGGTCTGAGCACATTGCCTCTCTGGCTTTCCTGCCGACTACTGCGCTTAAAAATCCTCTCGTGTCCACTTAGTTTGACTTCAAGTGGTTTCACCACGCCGAATCGTCATCATTTGACCGTAAATCGACTGATACTAGACATAATTTTATCTTTTCTGCATCGGTGATACATTGATAACTGAATCATAAACAGTTTATGCTTGCTTTGCGATTATTTAGTCGGTTTAGATTTCATCATAAAGTGAAACAAAACATTTTGGTTGTAAACAAAGTAAAAACTTACAAAAATGGACGTTTGGCGGATTAGAGAGTTGGACGAATGTGAAGAAGAGAAGTATGGCGGCGATCAGGTAGTATTGAGCGTTGTTGACACCTTCCTTTGAACTGAAAGTTCAAGTTCATCATACGGAGCCGATGAGACGATGATGAAATGATGAAATGCAAACACAGACAGCGCCAAGTGACGAAAAACTGGTGGTGAAAATATACACAAAAGTGGTGACCAAGTTGGCGACAAAGTCTGCCGCGCGGCTGCTGCAGTCAGTTCGGCGACGATGCTGCTGGAACACTGTCAAATGGTTGAACATCAGCGACGACAACGACAACGACGACGACTACGGCTGCGACAGTGCTGGTGCTGGTGGTTGTGCTTTCGATCGAAGTGAAAGGAATGGCTGCTACTGCTGCTGCTGCTGCTCTTGCAGGTAGTACGGTGCGCGCAGCCGAAGAGATCTCTGGTGCTTGGCGTCTCTGAATTGAAAGAGCGGCAGTAGCAGCTAGCTGCAGCCGGAGAAGAACGTCGCCTCGACTGCTGTGACTGGGCCCTATAGGTTTGTCTGCTCATCGGTTGGCGGAGGCTCCAGTATATATAGAGGGGATGCTCGGATGCTTGCTGCCTCTCCTGGTGGATGTGCACTCTCTGACTCTCTCGTTCTGGAACACCGTGCTCGTAGCAGGAGCCCTGCTCCGCCAGTGCTGCACTCGGGCAAATGCGTGCTCTACCTAGCTCTACCTTGCCTGCCACTGTTCGGGCAAACGCATTCTGATGCGAGTAGACACATACACACACAGCATCACCACTGCTGCTACTGGAACCCTCCTCTACACTAGGCAGGAAAGCTGAGCCTTCCTCCTTTTCAGGCTTTGCTTCTGCTGCTGCTGCTCTACCTGAGCATTTGCCAGCCTTTTCTGCTCCATTTGGCGTCTTGCTGTTACTGCAGTCACCCGATGAATGGCGCCAGTTTGCGGCAAAGGCCCCTGGCAAGCTGAGATCAGGGCTTGATCAGAGGAGGAAAAGATGGCAAGCACTGAGGGCAAGCACTTGGTAAATGTAGCGCCGAGTGGTTCGATGTTGATGATGACCCCGTCCGAGGTTGTCTCTCACTCTCAGAGGCACTTTGCTTGATTACCACAAATCGGCATCGGCAAACGGTGAACAAACAAGTGCTGTTTGCACTGGTCGCAGTCTATATTCTATTGTCTGCTGCAGTAGTAGTGCAGGTCGTTCCTGCATTGAACGCCAACTGAATTGCTATTCATTTACTACTGCTCACCGTTGTACGCCGGTGTACAAAGAGAATTGTGCTTCCTCTTTGCATTGCTTAATTATTATTGCAATAATTTAGTTTTATTTAATTAGTAAACGGTAACACTGTCACATGTGTTTGCCAAGTTGTACTATTCACACAGTTCTCACTATTGAAGTTCTCTAACACTAATAAATGTTTTAGGCCAAAAACTGCGTAAAATATATTTTGTTTTATCAAATAGCAAATTGCTCTAATGAGCAGTTCAATTTACGGAAAGTGATCTCTAACGCCATCTCCTGATTTGCTATCTGAATAGAAATCCCACTTCTATTCTTATACAATTATTTTCCTTTTTGTTTTTAGATTTGAAAACTGAAAATTGTGGTTCGAATTTTTATACATTGGTTATCATTTATCAATCAGCGACAACTTTCGCTAATGGTCATAGTTTGACCGCCAAAAGATATTAAAAATTTAAATTGTGGAAACTCAGTGGAAATAGACACTGGCCAGAGCTAGGCACTGTGTGTGCATATGGTCTGTGTTTACAATTTTTTATCAGAACAAATCCTTGTCAAGAATTCCTTGTCAAGATCATTTCAGTTGTCAAGAGTAAATCAGTCCTTTTCAAGATACACGTATTAAAAAGATAATCGGGGCGTACACTTGAATCACTTGCAAAGAATAATGTTGAAGCCGAAGCCACTAACGCAGATTCTGAATCAAGCCAACACTGGAGGTGTTACTGCGACACTGTAAGCATTTTGGCAATTTCGGATGATTCGATGATCTAACAATTGAGGTTACAACTTGATCCACAGACTCTTCAGTAAAGATGGCCGCCTGTTGGCGTATGCTGGCGAAACAGAGAACCACATGATTGCCGCCATTGCCAGTGGCATTTGGACTGCTTTCAACAACTATGGAACACAGGTGCTTTCCAGCAATCAACTTCAGCATGTTTTCATCGAGTGCAAGAACGGCAGTGCCATTGTTAGTCTAGTCGCCGATGTGCTGCTCTGCCTCTTTTCCGACACACCCAACATCAACGCCGGTGTTCTGCGCTTGAAGATGGAAACCATTGCCGACCACCTCGAGAAGCCGCTTTCTCAGATATCCCTCTAAGCATCTCAAATAAAAAGAACAGACTGTCGCCTGTAAATATTTTTATTGATTGTATTTTTCATTAAAAACAACAACAGATTACATACATGACTACAATATGTTTACAATGAACTACATTAAAAATTATCTGTACTGGTAGTCTTTGCTACGCAGAGTTTATTTTTTCAGCTCCTTCATGCGATTGAGAGCGCTACCGGCCTTGAACCAGCCAATTTGGAGGTCATTAAGGGTGTGGTTGAGGGTGATGGTGTCCGAGGAGCCATCCTTGTGCTTGATAACTGCCTTGATTGGCTAAAGTTTGGAAAAAATGGTTAGTAATTCGAAATACTTTTCCATTTAAAAATCACTCACCTTTCCGGGGGTCAAGTCCTTCAGGCCAGTAATTGAAATCTTGTCGGTGGGCTGGATTTTGTCGTAATCGGCGGCGTTGGCAAAGGTCAAAGGCAGGAGACCTTGCTTTTTCAAGTTTGTTTCTATACATTGAAATGGAAAACAAAAATAACTTATCCTGATTTAGAGAAAACGTTATTAGATGTACTGACCGTGAATTCGGGCAAAACTCTTGACAATGATGGCACGACCACCGAGGTGACGGGGCTCAAGAGCGGCATGCTCTCGGCTACTTCCCTCGCCGTAGTTCTCATCACCAACGGCGACCCACTTGACGCCCTTGGCCTTGTAGTCGCGGGCAACGTCCGGCACACCGCCCCACTCTCCGGTCAGCTGGTTCTTAATTTTGTTGGCCTCATTGTTTTCAGAGTTAATGGCTCTGCAGAGGGAAACAATGTGATCAGTACAATCAAGAGGAAACGTGCAAACAGAAGACTTACCCGATAAACATATTGTTGGAGATGTTGTCCAAGTGGCCGCGATACTTGAGCCAGGGACCAGCCGCGCTGATGTGATCAGTGGTGCACTTGCCCTTGACCTTGATCAGCACAGTTAAGTCCTCCAGGTCCTTACCGTCCCACTTGTCAAAGGGGCTGAGGAGCTGCAGACGCTGACTCTTGGGGTCGACATCGACGGACACTTTGGAGCCATCCTTGGGCGGCGCCTGGAAGGTGTCCTGGCCAGGGTCGAATCCCTTGCTGGGCAGCTCGTCGCCGGTGGGCGGCTCGAGCTTGAACTTTTTGCCGTCAGCACCGACCAACTCATCGGTGAGAGGGTTAAAGTCCAGTCGACCGGCAATGGCCAGCGCGGTGACCATCTCGGGAGAGGTGACAAAGGCATGGGTGGCAGGGTTGGCGTCGTTTCGGCCGGTAAAGTTGCGGTTGTACGAGGAAACGATGGTGTTCTTCTCGCCCTTCTTCACGTCCTTTCGGTCCCACTGGCCGATGCACGGGCCACAAGCATTGGCGAGGACAATGCCGCCAAACTCACGCAGGACAGCAGCCTGTCCGTCGCGCTCAATGGTGGCGCGAATCTGCTCCGAGCCAGGGGTGACGGTGAAGATGGACTTGCTCTTCAGACCGTGCTTCAGCGCCTGCTTCGCCAGACTGACCGATCGGTTCATGTCTTCGTAGCTGCTGTTGGTGCAGCTGCCAATCAGGCCAACCTTCACCTCCAGTGGGTAGCCGTTCTTCTTGGCATTTTCGCCCAACTTTGAGATGGGGTGGGCCAGATCAGGAGTGAAGGGGCCGTTAACGTGCGGCTCCAGTGTGTCGAGGTTGATTTCAATCACACTATCGTACTTGCAGCCCTTATCAGCGCTGAGCAGGTCTTTGTACTCGTCAGCGAGGCTGGCAATCGCCTTTCGCTCAGTGGCGGCAAGATAGTCACGCATTCGAGAGTTGTAGGGGAAGATTGAGGTTGTGGCGCCAATTTCAGCACCCATGTTGCAGATGGTGCCCATTCCAGTGCATGAGATGGAGTCAACGCCAGGGCCAAAGTACTCGACGATGGCACCAGTACCGCCCTTGACAGTGAGAATGTCGGCCACCTTGAGAATGACGTCCTTTGATGAAGTCCAGCCATTCAGACGACCGGTGAGATTGACGCCGATCACATTGGGGCACTTTAGCTCCCAGGGGATGTCAGCCATCACATCGACGGCGTCAGCACCGCCAACGCCAATGCAAAGGCCTCCCAGGCCGCCACCGTTGACAGTGTGACTGTCTGTGCCGATGAGAAGGATGCCAGGGAAAGCGTAGTTTTCCAAGATGATCTAAAGGAATGTGGGCAACATAATACATAAGATTAATGTGAAGCCACTTGAAATAATCCTACACCTGTTCGTTGCAAAAAGGCTGATTTTGGTTTACCGCTAAAGCGCAAAACTCAGGAAAAGTGATGCAAAATGTTTAGCAAATGAACCCGCATTTTTTTGTAAACAAAAAACTGGCCACAGACTTACCTGGTGAATAATACCGCTGCCTGGCTTCCAGAAGCCGACTCCGTACTTGGCGGATGCAGTTGCCAAGAAGTTGTACACCTCCTTGTTGATGTCCTTGGCACGGTTCAAGTCTTTGTCGCCACCGAGTTGAGCTTCGATCAAGTGATCGCAGTGGACGGTGGAAGGGACAGCCACTTTTGGAAGACCGCTGGAGATGAACTGGAGCATGGCCATTTGAGCCGTGGCATCTTGCATGGCAACACGATCAGGTCGCAGTCTCAGGTAGCTTTGACCTCGAGCAATGTCCTGCTCCTTGGGGTTGTCCAGATGCGAGTACAACACCTTTTCAGAAAGGGTCAAAGGACGCTGGAGTCTACCAAAAGGTGAACAAATCATAAGACTTTTCGAAAAAAGTAGACACCAACAAAGACACTCACCGGTCCTTGACAATCTTCAAATTGTTGTTCAGCTTTTCGTACGGAACAGGCTCCGGGTCGAACTTGCTCATGGCAACGTTCTTGGCGAGACATGTTGAAGAAGAGTTGAAGAATCGGATGCCTCGCGATGACAAACTCGTCAAGAGTTGCTGAAACGAGAACAAAAAACAATCATTAGCAGGGAAGTAGACAAAGAGGTGTTCACCAGTGATCTGGCGAGCAAAATGTGGGTCAAAGCAGACGGGACACCCCTTTGCCCTTCATTTGAACTCTGTCGGGCAGAATGCAACAGCAAAACAAAAACAGTGAGCTGATGCAGGGCGGTGGTGGCCACTGCTGGCGGTCGTACCTTGGCGTTCGGGGTTAGAAGGAGATGCATCTTCGGTGGACTATTATTCAGGAGTTGTTTCAATGAAAGTCTGTACCACACTGGGTGACCAGGTGACTTTTCTGGCTGAAATTCACTCTGAAACGGCGGACTTTTTATTGCCAGCAAAAGATTGCCGGCGCACGCGCGTCGCTCTGTGGTCCACTTCACTGATGGCAGTATATCGTTCAGTCAGTGATTCTCACTGCAACCAGTCACCAGACCTGCACCGGTGTACGATTTATTTACCGGGTATTTTCCACTTATCAACGGCCATATCAGTCATTACTACCACCACACCTTCACTATTGAATCACCAAGAACGAGAGAAGCCGGTGGGAGAAATGGAATCGCGGTTTTTGTCCGCCCACTCTACCATGATGCTTTATTGCCTCTTTGTTATTCCTTTTTTTGTGCACCCAAACAAACGGAATCTTAATTGAATGGTATGTTTTGGTTTTCACTCTTTTCCTTAAATGTCCTCTTTGTCTTTTTCTTTAGTGGCAATTTGTTACGCTTTTAAACAAGCAGTAAAATTATGCAAATGAGTAAAGTGGAAGCAGCTAATTGCCACTGTTTGCTTTTGCTTGTTTACACCGACACTGCCGGCAGCAACAGCTGCTGCTGGTAACTGTTTGGCTTGCGACGCATTGCATGCAGTTATATACCCTTGATAAGCACTTATCAGGGAAAAAGTGTGTTCTGCTGTTTTGATATACTATTTATACATTTCGATATTGTTTGTACTAGTTGATTGCGTAAATGCAAGTGCGGCAGAGTGTTGCATCTTCACTACTTCCACATCACTACTGATTCTCTTATCAGTTTGGCATGTGCTCGACGCAATAAAGCGAGAAAAAAGTTCAATGGATATTTCCCAGGTACCTTTACTTTGAAGTTTAAAAAAATTCTAGTGTGGAAAAGTTGTACTTTCATTCTGAACGGTGAATTGACACTTTCACTGAATATTGTAGGAAGCAGCGTTGTAACTGTGTTACACTTTGCTAAATGAACGACTTTTTGTTTGTTACTTTGCCCCACCACCACCACCACCACCACCACTACCACCGTTCGAACGTCGACAACATTTGGCCAACATTTCAAGCAGACTTTGCACAGACACACTATCGATCAGTGTATTAGTTTACCTTGTCCGTTTACCGCGCCTGCATTCGGTGCGCCGCCGGCTGGCTGGCTGGCACCTTTGCCGTGACTACGATTTCACTGTTAAGGAAGAAGAGGAGGAGGAGGAGGTAGAGACGAGACTTCTCTCTGTTTTCTGTCTCTCGCTGAGCGAGACTTCTCGCAAAAACTCGACACACGAGACGCTCTTTTGCTCAATGGTGGTAATGGTGGTGGAGAGCCACTGCGAAGAGCTGCCACTCTAGCTTCAAACGTAGCTTCATACTTGAAGGCGTGGGTTTACGTCTCGAGAAGTTGCCATCTCTAAAGTTGTTCCTCGCCACTGTTGATCGCGCGCTCTCTTTCTATCTCTCACTGACGCACTCTCGGCTAAATTGGACTGTAAAGTTGTTAACGCACCACTGAAATCATCTATCTTCTCAGTGTCCTGCGAATCGGCGCGTCTGAACTGTTCCAGTGGACNGGCTAAATTGGACTGAAAAGTTGTTAACGCACCACTGAAATCATCTATCTTCTCGGTGTCCTGTGAATCGGCGCGTCTGAACTGTTCCAGTGGACAATCACAATCAACTCAAAGAATGGCTCGAGGTCGCATCAAGAAGATTCTCCTGCCCTACCTCATCAGGCACACACTGCTTGGCCTGGTGGTGGCATCGTTACTTTTCATTCTCTTCCTCATGCTGCGACTGGTCGCCACACTGACGCATGAGATAAACCGAATGTCCGAGAATCAACATCAAATATCAACAGAACAAGGTAAGTGTTTGTCATTGCCGCACTTGGATGGTGCCTCTGTGCTGCCACTTCAAGGACGGGAGTAAAAATACTCGCCTTGTCTGATCGCGTATTTTTGTTTTGATTTCCACAGTACTGTTCTACATGAAGAATTTTCTCCTGTACGTTCTATTTGCGGCACTGCAGCTGTTTGGCTTGTACGGCCTGGTGCGAATGAGTCGTCGCCTTCTCATTGCCTTCGGTTCATCACTTCTAGTCGCCTTCGCCTTTAGTCTCATCGACCACCTCCTTAGTTCGGGCTACCTGCACATTGCGATATACCTGCTGGTGCAGTCGGCATTTGTCCTTCTCTACCTTGCAGTTTTTCCCTCGAAACGTCGCCCCATCTCGCACATTCACTACATACCAATGCCTAACGAAGAGTTTGCCACTTCTCCACAGCATCAGCAGCAGCAGCCGCAACAACAATCCTCTGGCTATAGATACTTCCGCTTTTGACCATCCTTTACATCTGTTGTTCTTTATTGTACATATTTATCAGTATTGTCTTCATTGCATTATTGTAGTCAAATAATTATATTAAAATTATGCAAGGTTTACCACCTTGTTCAAGAGCAAGAACCTCGCTTCAATCAGTCAGTCTAGAGTTGGGGTCAACAAAAAGTGGAAAAGTTTGCCTTGAATGGCTGTACGAATTGTCGCCAAATTCATAATTTGATAATTATGGACTATTGTTGCGTTTAGAATGACAGAGAAGTTTAATAGTGGGCAATTGTTATGTTCAAGAAGTCGGCACCCTACTTTCTCTTTCCAATGCATCTACTAAATGACTGTCTTTTGTGGTTTTTGGACCACCTAAACTCAGTTCAAGTATCACTCATACTCTTACAGCTTCAAAAGGTGCTTGCCATCATCATTTGGTACAGTGAGCGGACGCACTCCTTGACGCTACTCAAGAACATCAATGATAGCCTCTGTAGAGATGTGGTACAAAGATGGATAGGCATTGAGGAGTCGGGTCAGTGACATTTTGGTCTATCTTCGAGTCCATCTCACCAAATCGCTATCACTTCACAGGATTCGCCGGTCTTGCAACCTGGACGTACGTCTTTGTGTGCTTCTTTGGAATAAACGCCCTGTCAATGAAGAATGGCCTGCTGATTGGCCTCTTCCTCCTGGTGGACATCATCATTGCGGTAGTCATGTACACGACGAGGCAAATCAACAGTGTCGTCATTCCACTGATCATCATTTTCAGCGCCCTTCTCAACGTTCTCTTTCTCTACCTGCTCTCTCAAGTCCGCCACCACCACCCTATTGTCCATTACGGACCACCGACAAGTGGACGCGCCACGACCACCATTCCAAGTCCACCACCGGGTACGGACTCTAGTACAACCTCAACTAACCTGGTGCTCACTGAATAAATCGAGATTGGCAACTGTGACTCTTTTTTATTGTCCCTTGAGCATTGCACACAAAAAAGGTGTTCTACAAAGCAGTAGAAGATGAACTGAGGGCATTACTCGTTTGTCCGCCTGCAGTGCTGCTGACTGCAGAGGGTCTGCCCGGTGCTGATGATTTGCCATCGCCGCTGACTGCCCAGCCAAAGATAAACGATCCCAGGGCGCAGAGGATTTTGAGTGCATGATACGCCAAAAAGGTGGTTTTGATTTCCTCTGCAAAGCCGAGGTTGATGGCGTAACGTAGATTGGGTATAATGTACGCCATGGCAAACATCATCACCGATGTTGATCTGTTAAAGAGAATACTGAAGAGTCCGAGAAACTCGAGCACCAAGAAGAAGGTCATCTCTTCATAGACTCCCTTGTAGATGGCTTCTGTAGTAGAAGCAGGCAAAGATAAAGATCTTATGGTGAATTGTCCGTTTACTTACCTTTCAGGTCAGCCACTTCGTCATTTTTGCTTTTGAAAGCTTTATCAATGCCAATGAAGGGCAACACCTTCTGGTGGTCCCCTGAAATAGTCACAATAATGTAAATGGTCGCGCCGATATTACATGTCAATAGCAATAAAAGAATCACTTTCAGAAATGACAAAGCACTGTTTAGTCCTTTGAATAGTATGTCACACATGTTTCAAATAGTGACGTAATCGACGATTTGACATATACTTAAACAGAATTTTAGCACATTGATAACACTACTCGAACAAAAAGTTTTTTCAATATCGAACTTAAAATAAACTTACAAGAGGTAAAACGCTAACTGTTGCAAAGCATTTTGCATTGCAATCGTTTAGTTGATTCGATACTGTGAATACTTTTCCGTTCATCTGTAAACATGCTTTTTGTTATCTCTTTCATGGCTATGAGCTCCATTTTGTTTGCTTTCGGCTCAAGTCAAGTGACCAAAGACAAGATCAATCTGATAGCCAAAGTTGAAATCAAAGACACAAAGTACTTGACCATCATCACTACTTCGGACAGCAATCAAGTGCTGATGCTCTACCGTTTGCACACTAACGCACTGAATGAAACAGCACCACACATCGTTGTCAATGTCAAGCCAACTCCTCTTGGTAAAGCTCTGGAACTCGACTCAAATGTTCCCATTGCGCTTGGAAAATTGGCCGTTCTGGCATCATTTGACAATTTCAAGATACTTATCGGTGCTGAGTTTGGTACAAAAGAGGTCACTGAGCTTGAGATTAGCAAAGCAAAAATGACCCAATTTAGTTGTTCTGGAGACGACCACTGCCCGATTATGGATACGGCTTGGTTATCCAGTTTGAGCAATGACGATAACCGCATCATTGTTATCAAGAATGAGCATTTTGCTGTGATGGAGGTAGAAGAAGAAGACATCAAAATTGGTAACAAAGTATTGCTTTGCACCAAAAATGACAAGTATTATTTTGAATGGGAAAGTAAAAAATGCGAAGGAGCTGAACCGTACATTATTGGAACAGACATTCAAGGTTTCTTTACTTCTAACAAATTTTACATTTTGGATAGAAGTAACCATCAAGTTCTTAGCTTTCCTAAAAATGTTTTTAAAAAAACTGGCACCATGTTTACTATACAAACCACCAAGTTTGATGATTTCTTCGTGGCCTCTGGAGGAGATGTTAGCACTAGCAAAACTTTCAGCACAAAGCAACACTCAGAAAAATCAGAAAGTAGTACTGACCTAGAAGCGACTACTAAGAAAAGTATGTTAATTTTGTTTTTATAATGTTTTGCCAATAATAATCTTTGCTTTTGTGTTTCAGTGTCAACCTCGACCATAATCATCATTGCCGTGTCAGCTCTAATCGCTGTCACACTTTTAATTGTTCTCATCATTACGATTGTCTGTTGCTGCTGCAAGAAAAAGAGCAAGAAAAAGAAAAAAAAGAAGAGCTCAAGTAAGTCTTCTCCAAGCTCTCCTCGAAAGGGATCAAAGAAAAAGCGCAGCTCGGCAAAGAAGTCCAGCGAAAAGAGGAAGAAGAAGAACTCTCGAAGTCGCAGCAAAGAATCTAAGCGCAGCAAGCGAAAGGATAGCAAACGACGAAGCAGCAAACGCAAGGATAGTAAAGGCAGAAAGCTTACAAAAAGCAGCAGCAAACCGAAGCACAGCCGTGCTCAGTCAAAAAGCAGAAAGCGTACTTCGGCTTCAAAAGCGCCTTCCCGCCGAAGTACTTCGCAGAACCCTGGCTCTAGTCCTTTCAGCAGCCGATACTTTTCCAGCGGCTAAATGCTTTCTCTTATTTTGCACAATACCACTTGTACTTTTCAAAAGCACACTTTTACCTGATTTCATTTTGCTGTTTACTAAATTATAAAAGTATGAATTTTAAAAACTGGCCCTACTGTTAAGTTAAAAACGTCTGAGTTGAAACTCTGATTGTTTAGGCCTCTTTAAATGTCATCTTTTACTTGCCATAGTTTTAATATTTAGATAAAGATTGCAAAAAAATACTCACATATTTGGCAGATATTGCAGTGACAGGAAAAGAAATAAAATGAAAGAATGACTGTACAATGAGAATGGCTTAGTGGCGCCAGATGAGAAAGTAAGTAGTGAGCAGTGTGGAGATGAATGTGAGCAAAATGGTCTTCACTTGCACCGTAACCCTACTGGCCGGGTTGCAGCTGTCCTCTGCACAGTAGCACTCCTCCCAGTAGACTCCATTCTCGTAGTAGCCCCAATCGCAGCCCCAGGATATGCCTGTGAACAGGACAAGTAAACAGGTCAACAGGTGGTTCACTCAGTGTTGCCTCACAATCCCCACTCTGCACTCACCTCGTTCGCTGACTTGTGCGCACCGGCGAATGACACTTCTCCAGCGACCATCCCAAATGAAGCCACGTGGTCCTTGTTGAATTGACTTGAAGCAGAATGTGCCTGCACAAAAGGTGTCAGTGTGAGTTTGTTTAGTAGAAATGAGAACATCTTACCAGGCGTCACTGCCTCCTCTCCCATGCAGTCGACTGCGATGTTTTGGTTCTTGTCAAATGAATTGTAAGCTCCACAGTTGTCTACTCCTTTGCCGTCTTTTTCAGTGCTGCACTGATAGCATTTTATTGCCAGTACTGTCAAGGAAAAAATGTAGCCGTTATTTAACACTACATTTACACCTCTCAAATTACCTGATTTAATGCCACTGAATAAAAGGATGTAAAAGCAAGTGGAGACGAGTTTGAGTGTGAACATGATGATGCATCAATTGATGGCTGATCACACTGCAACCACGCTGAAAACAATGCTGAAAAATGTGACAATGAAGGTGAAAGGTAATAGAAAGGGAAAGAAAGAGAGGCCAATCAGCCCAGCAACAGTGACAGTGATTATGATTGGCCGTTGATGCTTCGGGTGTTGGTTCTCTGTCGTTGTTTGCACTGCACATACACTGACTAGCACTGTGTGCACGCTTACCTTTGAATTGAGTAGCACTTCATTCGGCAGCCTGCACTTGTCAGCCATGGCAACCTGCTGTTGCTACTGCTGCTCAGTCTGCCTGCGAATCTACCGTGCTCACACTTACTCGCATTTGGCCATTCTTTTAGAAACAGACACTCGCCGAAGTGCCACTGGCCTCACCTAGCCGTCCTCTCCGCTGCCGAGTTCATGTCGGCATGCTGGCCACTACCATTCGACACTGTTGCCGTCTCTTCTCACTGCTGTCACAGACAACACACACACCTAGACAAAACACATTCTTCAGTTGATGCCCAAAATCTAATCATGTTTGGTGCCTGCTCAATTTGACTAGTGAGCACAGTATTAACTCAACGTTAAAATCCTTTTTGTGGTCTAGTTTTGCATTGCCTGTGACTAGTGCAAAATGACTCACACATCGTTTGCAAGTCGGTGTTTGCTTTTATTTGCCATTTCAATACTGTGTTTAGTGCCTCTAGGTATGTTTCCTTTAATTTTTGTCTAGAAGAAGTCTCAGTTTTCCCAACCTTTTAGCCCACTGCATCAAGTGCTGGGTTTGTCACTCAGACAGCGATCCAAAATGCGCCGATCCATTTGATAACAACACGTTGCCCATTAAAGACTGTCGGGAAATTAAGCGGCAGCACTTGTTGGAACGTAAGTGATGCCAACTCTACAGTGAAAGATAACGCTAAAACGTTTCTTTGCAGCTGAGTTTGAATATGACAGATTGAAGCGACTAGAAGATGAAAAGAGGGGCATCAAAACGACTAGTCCCAAGTTAATGGTCGCCACTATGTGCCGGAAAATTCGGCAGAAAATTCACGGAAACTGGCGCACGATAAGAGACTGCGCCTTCATCGGTTCCCCCGGAGAGGGCACCGGAAATGAGCACCATTGTCTCTACCGAAAAGGTTAGTTGTGGTTACTAGTGACATGCCAACACTCAAACACTTCATTCTCACCGACTGTTTTGCCCAACAGGCACGTATGACATATACCTGGAGTACTGTACATGCGACAGTAAGGATGGCTGCAATCCTGCTAGCCATTTGGCGCCTCGTATTGCCTTCCACCTCTTTGCTTTCATTTTCGCTTTTTTCCTTCTACACTGACATTGGCTCAGGTTTGATTTGAGTAATCTGAGCACACCAACCCCAAGCAATCGACCCACCACTCGCCGAGTTTCCACTTACTCCTCCCTCCACTGACTCACCCATTTTCTGGTGCCAATCAATGGAAAACTTTCCTCCTTTTTTACCGTTTACCCAGGCACTACCAAAGCATTCGTGTACATTCACCCCATGTAAATAGTCTCAATCAACAAAAGCAAGTGTCGAAAAAAGTCCATTTATTTTACAAGGAACAGTTGCGCGCCACAGCAACTCCGCAGCGCATATCATATGTATGTGTTACATTTAATAAATAACAAATAAAGATGTGTTATAAATACCAATTAATTAGCCAATATAGCGTGTTAAATAAATAGTATAAGAAAAGAGTGAGTACGTGTGTGCAAGTAGAAAATGGGTGTGTCAGTGTGCTTGTTTGCTTAATTTCACATTGAATTGAGCAAGTTCACTATGAGCAGAGTTATGACTAGAGTGAGTGAGTGAAGAGAGGCACTTAAAACAGTGCCAAATGAGCAGATGAAAAGAAAAATAAAACCATCAATTGATTGAAGACTACTCGGAGAGACCAGTCAAATCGAGCAGGCGAGAATGCGTCGACTTTTTCTGTGAGAAAAACTCCTCCGAGTAGGCGTTTAACCTAGCAGAGCTAAAGTGCGCCAATTGTCGTTTGCGAATCATAAATTCATTAGGTAGCAGCCACTTGCTTTCATGGCACTCCTCGATGGTTGGTCGTTTGCTAGAAAAAGAAAAAAGAAAATCATTAGAGTATTGACTAAATTTGCAAAAATTTAAAGTTTTCAACGTACTGAGGAGTCAATTTAAAGACGGTAAGAATAAATCGAATTGCCTCTTGCGTCACTTCGGGGTACAGTCGATCAAACATGTAGCGAACGTAGACTACATTTTGAGCCGTCTCCTTAGCGTCGGCGCCCTTGAAAGGCGAATGACCGCTGAGAAGAATGTATGCGAGCACACCGACACTCCAAATGTCGGCGTATGGCAGGGTGATCTCTTCGTTCTTGATAACCTCGGGAGCTGAAAGATTTTACAGTTTAAAAGATTAACAGGTCAACTCAAGACCTTTCCACTTACCAATAAATTCAGGGTTTGCCATTACGGTGACCTTTGAGCCAGTGGAGGCGACATAGCGGGCACTGGCAAAGTCAGTGAGCTTCACCTGCAACCTCCTGTCGTCGACGACAAGGACATTGTCTGGCTGGAGCTCAATAAGGGCAATGCCTCGGTAGTGCAAGTACTCAATGGCGTCCAGCACCTGGCAAAGAATCTTCGAGACGCAGTCTTCGGTGTAGTACTGCTTCCGCGACAGGTAGGTGAGCACATTGAGTCCGGAGAGAAGCTCCATTGCCAGCGAGAAGACCATCGAGTCTCGGTTGGCGTAGCTGAGGCTGACGATGCGCTCGTGTGCCAGTGACTTCATCACCTCGTACTCCTGCGGGGCGCCCGATTCAGTTTCACTCTGAGCGAGGACGCACTTGCAGGCGAGCGTCGCTCGTGAGCCATCCTTGACGTAGGCGCGGGCAATTACCGAGAACTTGCCCTGGGCAATGACCGACTTGAAGTCGTACAGCTCCTTGAAGTCCGACTTGATCAGCGGCACCGGGTTCAGCTCGCGACTGTAGTCCAGGTCGGGGAAGAGCGCCAGGTCGTCGGTGTCTTTCTCCTCGGCCGACTGCGGACTGCACACAAACTGCATGGTTGCCGGCAGCGCGACGGCCCTGTTCTCCGCCACTGACAGCGTCCGGGCGATCTCACTGGGCGGACTGGCCGCACTCCAGCCGAACTTGTTGCAGGCCGACAGGCGGAACTGGTAGCTGGTCTCCGGCTGTAGGTCGCTCACCAGGTAGTACTCATGCTTGATGTTGCCGTCCACAGTGCGCCAGCCCTCCTCGTCCACCGTGCGGTACTCCAGTTTGAAGTACTTGACGGGAGAGTTGCCTACTTGCTTGGGCGGTGGCCAAGCGAGCAGAACGCTGTGTGCAGAGCCGTCCTTGACGGACGGTGGACTGACGTGCTCAGGAACGTCGCCCAGTGCGAGCCGAGCTCTGCACACCGCAGAGCCTTGCGAATTACGGGCCACGCACTTGTAGACGGCGACGTCGTACTCGCGACCGGGCTTAACTCGCAACTGGCACCGACCATCACTGGTGCGCTTCACCTCCACTCTGCTGTTCTCAATGAGAATGGACTCGTTCCTGAACCAGGTGTAGCTGGGCTCGGGCTGGCCAACAGCATAGCAGGAGAAGGTGACGTCCTCGCCGCTGCGGAACGCCACGTCGCGCAGCTTCTCGCGGAAGAAGGGCGCCCGCAGGTTCGCCTCGTCCTCGACGCCTCCGCCGCCGCCGTGTGCCGACTTGGCCTCCTTGCGCAGGGCACTCAGCTGCCCGTAGGCGTAGGAGGAGGTGCCCAGCTCACGGACCAGTCGCATCGGCTTGCTGCGATTGCTGAAGCCCTTCATCTCGTCGGTGATCTCCTCATCCATTATGTCGGTGAACTTTCTCCTCTCCTTGATGGACACCTGCGGAACGGTGCCGGTGTGCATCAACGTGCTGCCCCAGTGGGACTGCTTCAGGTTGTAGTTCATCGACGGACTGGTGGTCGCCGCTATTCGCAGGTAACGCCGAATTCGGGACGGAAATTCAGTGTCACGCAGCTGGAGGAGGTACGTGTCAGGGCCGCTTTGATAACTGAAAAAGTTGCGTAGGAAAACGAAAAGGTGAGCAAAAACAAATTGTAAAAAATAATCAAAAGATAACATACTGGCTCTCAGAGGTGAAATTGCCAGACTCGGTGGCATTGGGCGGATAGATGTTCTCGAAAGGTGATATAGTTTTGCTGTACTTTTTAATCTCTCGATCAGGTGACACCAGTGGACTGTACTGCTCGTCAGGAGGGTAGATCATTCGGCTCGGATGGGTGTAGCAGGAGTGTAGGGGACGACGGCGGTAGTAACGACGACATGAGGCATTGTCGTACTGTGCAAAAGGCAAAAATGTCAGTTTTTTGGTTGTGGTTTTCAAAACATTTGATTTACCCATTTTTTATATCGATTTTGATATTCAGCTAGTCTGTCCATGATGACCAGTTGGTTGCCCCCTTCAGGCTGAGTGCCCAACTTTAGCCACGGGTGGTTCAGGGCACTTTTCACATCGAGCCGATTGATTGGATCAAAGTCAAGGACTTTCCGCAAAAAGTCTTGCCCTTGATCTGACACGTGCTTGAGCGTGTCATGTGACAGGTCCAGTTTCTTATTTTGAATGTTGTGCAAAGTGGCACGGTCATTTTCAGCCAAAAAGGGCGAAATACCGGTGAGAAGGATGTAGGTGACAATGCCAGCTGAGGGACGAGAGTTAGATCAAGTTATAACCAAAAAAGGCAAACACCGCTTACCAGACCAAACGTCCGATGTGTAGGTGACCGAGTTTTTGCTGACAATCTCTGGCGCAACAAACTCAGGGTGGCCGTACTCAACGTAGTGCTTCATACCAGGCACCACTCGACATGCCAGTCCGAAATCGCAAATCTGAATGTCAGGTCCGTTCATTCGATCCAGCAGGAGATCGCCAATCTGGAGAGCATTCATTGTGAAAATTAGTCAAAGTCTACCGAATGTCACGCCTAATTACCGTAAGTCCAAAGTGGCCAATGTTTTTGTAGTGCATGTACTGCAGTCCCTCGAGTAGCTGTCTGATGTAGTGGGCCACCTCGTTCTCCGTCAGCTGTCCCTTCTTCAGAATAAAGTCCAGCAGCGGTCCGCCGCCGCAGAGGTCCGTGATGAGTGAGAGTGAGTGCGGCGTGCTGGCGAATGCGTCCCGCAGCTGCACCAGCTTCTCATGCGAGCCCAGCTGGTTCATGACGTCCAGTTCGGCCATCATGAACTGCTTCATCTCGCCCATTCCGTGCATCATCTTCGCGGCAAAGCTCTTGCCACTGGAGCGCTCCACCGCGTGGTAGGTGATGCCCTGCGTTCCTCTGCCCATCTCATCGCCTAGATCGTAGAACTGCTCAATGGTCTTGCTCTGTGGCTTCACCGTCTTGTTGTAGCTGAAGGGGTACTTGTCATAGGTCACCTCGGTTTCTGTTGTAGAAGCAATACCAGTGTGAAAGCAAGCATAGTTTCCAAAGCAGAGTTTACAGAACTTACCGGTGACGTGAACGTAGGCGGCAGTGGTGCTGGAGCCGGCGGCATTGCTCACCGTGCACGAGTAGAGGCCCATGTCGCGGGTGATGCAGTCGCTGATGACCAGTGTGCTCAGCTCGCCACTGCTGGCAATGCTGATTCGACTGGTGTCATGCAGTGGCTGGTAGTCCTTGAACCACTTCACCGTCGGCTCGGGCACTCCCTTGAAGGCGCACTCCATGCGAATGTGATTGCGCGCCGGGACAGTGCTCTCCTCCAGTCGGCGGGTGAACACCGGCGGCTCGGCGTTCAGCAGTTTGATGGTCCGTCGCTCCTCGCCATGTTCATTCTTCGCCACACAGGTGTACGTGCCCACGTCGGAGATGTCCATCTTATTGATGAAGAGACACACCTTGCCATTGCGGTCTTGCAGAAAGCTGAACTTGGTGCTCTGCTCAATCTGGTGAGGTTTCAAAGAAAGATTACTTGTGAGTAAAAGTAAGAAGTGACAAAAAGTGACAGGCAAACCTTAACATCACCACAGAACCAGGTAATGTTCGGCTCAGGATATCCGTAGACCCAAAATTCAAGCGTCACCGGCTGGCCACAAACACCGTACATGAAACTGCTTTCTTCTCTCAAAAACTTGGGAGCAGCCGCTGAACAAATGGAAAAACTGGTATTTAGCAAAGAAAAAGAATTAAATTGAGCAGAAAAGTTGACGAACCAATCTTTTCCATATCTTTGTGGGGCACTTCAAAGTCAGTTGGCTTAAACTCTTTTGGCTCATGTTCCACCTTGAGCTTTGACCGATGTGCAGTCACTGACGGCGATGGATCGCTGATTCCAAACTTGTTCTCCACACGAATACGGAAGTTGTAGTCCTGGAATGGCTCCAGATTTGAAACCTCGCATTTGGTGTCTTTGATGCCTAATGAAAAATCAAAGTTAGTGTGAACGGTTTTTAAACATTATAAAATAGCTTACCTGACTGGTAGGCAACCCAAGTGCCGTCATCGGTCTTACCAAACTCCACCACATACGAAACGGGGAAACGAGGCTGCTCAGGCACAGACGGGAGCCAGATGAGCGTAAGACTATTATCTGTCATTTTGGTGATTCGTGGCTGGTCAGGCAGTGGCACCGGCAGTCCGGAGCCCTTGTAGTCGAGGTCATCGTCAGCAAAGTGCGCCCGATTCTGACTCTTCTTGCTCTTGTGCGTCTTGTCCGCTCGGTCTAAACCGTCAACAGCTACAGTGAAGGCAAAAGCAAGTGATGATTAGTCCTCGGAGATGAAACTCAATTTTCACTAAAACTGCTCATTGTGGTTAGTAAAAGGCGTTTATTAGGCAAGAGGTTAGTGTAGTCCAAACAAAGGCTCGGTTTGAATCACTAAACAAGTGTCTAGTTGCAAAATTACACAATGGTGTCTTGGAGAAAAAAAAGTAGTTTGATAATCTCTAGTACAGTGTGCAAACTTAACGAGTTGAGTATCATCATTGTAGTAACTGTTTGTGCGCATCACAGATATATCATATTTGACTGTCTCTAGGAAGCAAAAACTACCGATACTGCCGTTTAGGGCTTTCCACACTTGAAGACATATTCGGCTACACTCTTTAGGCCGTTATCGTCACAGGGAAATGAAGAGACACTGTAGTCGCCGAAAATGAAGTGAACACAGACGTAGAGGGTCATGAAGGCAAAGAGAAGGCCTGCAGTGGCCACTGGCAACAAATTGGACTCTGCTGACATTGAGTGGGCAACTCTCTGCTGCCAGTTCTGAGCTACTGAGCTACTGACTGATTGTCTGCGAGCAGGGCGAAGTGACTGACCGAAGTGAACTGCTGACCTACCGACGGCACTACCAACTGACTGAGCGGCAAAGCAAAGTTTCTCTAAACAAAACAAAACAGCGTTCAGCATTTTCTTACTCTCAAGATTTAGTTGCGCTATCGAGTTGTCATAGCCGAGTGCATTCGAGCAGTGACAGCGATATTTGCCGAGATCAGCATTGGTGACATTGCGCACTTCAAAGTGAATCATGCCGTTGTCCTTAAACTCCATCATGTACTTGTCCCCGTCGATCTTTATCTCTTGACCATTTTTGAACCTGGAAAATTGGTAAACAGTTGGTTAGAAACAGCTTATCAAGAGGGCTAGTTAAATCACGAACCAGGTGAGATCAGGCTTAGGCGTTCCGATGACACAGGCGGTGAATCGAGCTGTGCCGCCCAGCAGGACATCGTAATCGGTGAGCTTTGTCAAGAAAGCAGCTGCTTCGCCCTTTTTGTCCTTTTCACTACAAATAAAATTTAAAATCAGTTACATAAATTTTAACTAAATGAAACAACTTACATAAAGTGCACCGTAGCGTCAGTGCGGTCAGAACCAAGGTGATTCATGGCACGGCATTCGTAGTTGCCAGAGTCAATTTCAGTTGGATTGAAGATGACTAAAATTTGCTGATCCATCTCTTTGAAAATGCTATACTTGACGCCCGATTCAATGGCCTTTCCATTGAAAAGCCAGAAAATCTCCGGCTCTGGGTATCCCTCAACTCTGCAGGTCAGCTTAGTCTCCATCTTCACCTGAGCTTCAGTGTCAGTGAGCTTTTGAGTAAACTTTGGTGCCGACTCTTTAAAGGTGGTAACATTAGCACTGGACGAGGTTTTGCCGAGGCTGTTGCCAACAGACAGCTCGTAGCTGCCAAAGTCAGCAATGTCGGCATGTGAAACTGTCAGCTGAGCAGTTGTTCCATCGAAACTAGTGAGGATATTGTCTGACCGCTTAATCTCTTTGCCATCCTTGCGCCAGACAATCTCCGGCGCAGGGTGTGCTCTGATCTTGGCGACCAGTGTGAATGGTTCACCCTTCTTCACTGTCAAGTCTTGCAATGGCTGCAAAAACGTCGGTGGACATTCTTCAAACTTTTCAGTGGCAATCACGTTCAATTTGGCAGTTGAAGAGACTTCACCAAGATCATTTGAACAATGAACCGAGTACTCAGCTATAAGGTAAAATTACTTTAGTGTTTGCTCATTAGCGTAATAAGAACACTTTACCATCATCTCGCAGGCTGCATTTGTCAATGACTAAACAGTAGGTGCCATCTTTGCCATCCAGTCGAGTCATCTGCCGTTTTTCCACACCGGTATCAACGCCATTCTTCATCCAAGTCACTGTGGGCGTTGGGTTGCCCTTGACCTGAACTTCAAACTTGGCCGAGCAGCCCTCCTTGACCGTCAAACTGGTCAGTTGCTTTGTGATCATTGGTTTGGCTGGCGAGAAAATAAAATATTTCCGTAAATATTCGTTGTGATTTGTAAATAATAGAATACTCACATTTAACCGTCACCGGACAGCTGGACTGCACCTGTCCATCGCCGTTCTTAAAGAGAGCAGTGTAATCACCCTGGTCTTCGAGGTTCACCTTGTCAAAGGTCAGTCGGATGACACCACCTGGCAGCTGCTGTACGTGCACTCGGTCAGTCGGCAGCAGGTGTTTGCCATCTTGAAGGAACTTAATGTCGCCTTCCTTCTCTGAGTCTACCTTCAGCTCAATAAAGCCTGGCTCACCGGCAATCAGAGTGACCGGCGTCAGGCCCTTCAGCACGGTCATTGGTTTGTCATCGCCCTTCTTCTCCACAACCACCTTGGCCTGACTCTCCGATTTGCCAGTGTCGTTCGTCACCTCCAGTTTGTAGGCGCCGGCGTCGGCCATTGTGGCACCATCAATTTGCAGCATGACAGTGCCATCTGGCAGATTGACAAAGTGCACTCGATCTGAGGCGACCAGCGGTTGGTTGTTCATGCTCCATTTCGCTTCAAATGGCAGGCCAGAGATGACTTTGGCCTTCAAAATGAGCGGACTCGACTCGCTGACTGTCGTAGCTGTCAGTCCTTCAGCAAATGCAGGCTTGTCCTTGTTGACGCCTGCGCCCTTGGAGGATGCCTTGGCAGCACTGGTCGCCTCGCCTGCGTTGTTTTTCACCTGAACACTGTACTGACCAGCGTCCTTGCTGGCGAATGAGTCAATGAGCAGTGCCAGCGTTCCATTAGGCTCCTTGACAATGCCATAGTTTTCATTGGGCACAATTTTTTCACCGTCCCGGAACCAGGAAATGGTAAAGTCGCTGGGATTGCCTTCGATGGCACACTCCAGTCGACAGGGCTGTCCACTTTCCACTTGGACGGCTGACAGCTGCTTGGTGAACTTAGGCTTCTTACCATCGCCATCTCCATCAGCTTTGTCTGTTTGCGTAGAAAAGCAATAAATAGAAAAGTTAATACAAAAGCTTGATAAAATGCAATCATCATGCAAAAAGTTAGTAGAAAAAAGTAAAACAAAAAAGTGTACAGAAAATAGAGATTTCAGATTACACACAAAAAATGCCGCAGGTAGCAAAGATGAAGAAGAGCAAGTAGTAGAAGTACTGAAGGTATAGAGGTAGAAAGAAATAGACGAGTTAAGGGAAGCAGTCGAGAATGTGTTGGCAGTGAAAGTGAAGTTATAGAGATTGAGAGCGAGAGATAAAGAAAAAAAGAAAAAGAAAAGCAGAGAAGAGAAAGAGAGAGATTTGAAGAAGAGTCGAAGCAAAGTGGAGCGTTGAAGGAAAGCGACGAAGGCTGTTTGCGCGCTGCTTGCGAGCTCAGTGCACTGCACTGCACACTCTACTCACCGTCTTTGACTTGCACATGGCAGACACTACTGAGACTGCCGCCGTCGGGCGTCCTCACTTCAATGCGGTACACACCGCTGTCCAGTGGGGTGCACTTCTCCTGGCGCAACTGTACGGCACCCGACTCAGTGGTGGCCACCTTCGGTCCGTCCTTGTCCTCCGCTGACAGTGGTCGGTCATCCTTGTACACCGTCACATCGCTGGGCGACAGAGCTGGCGCAGAGCTGGCGGTGTCCAGCTTCATAGACAGCTGCAAATCTTCGCCGGGCTGTAGTGTGACCGCCTTTGGCAGGGCTTCGGTCACCTGGAATGGTCCCCGTGCTGTCTTCCCGACCGCCACCTCACTCTGCGTCTGCAGCAGCTCACCGGTGCTCGGTGTGCGCACCACCAGAGCGTAGACGCCCGAGTCGCCCGTGGTGGCCTTGTCGATCTTCAGCGAGTACTCGCCGTCCTTCTCCTTGAGGGCCATTGCGCCCCCCTCATCGGCCTTGATTGGCTTGCCGTCCTTCAGCCAGGTGGCCTCCTTCCCGGCAGTGTCTCCCTCCACCTTGGCCGTCAGCAGCAGCGGCTTCTGCTCGAGAAGCTCGACCTTCTTAGGCAACTGCTTACTGAAGAGGACTTGGGCCGCTTCAGAGGGCACCAGCACGTCAACCTGCGTGGAAATGGTCAGCGAGCCGACGGAGTTCTCCACGGTCACTGCGTAGACGCCTGCGTCAGTGGCCTTAGCGGCGTCCACTGCCAGCTGCAGGTCACCCTCAGGAGTGCTGGTAATGTGAGGTTTGCTGCCCTCGGCACTGCTGCTGCTGCTCTCCTCCAGGGGAACCTTGTCCTTTGCCCACGTCACCGTTGGCAGTGGGTAGGCGCTGATTTTAGCATGCAGCTGCAGTGGCTCTCCGCTGACCACCTGCACTTTGACGGGCAAGTTCTCCAGCACCTGTGGCGCAAATGGCTCAGGCATCACTTGGACCACTGTTGAGCTGATGGCCTCGCCATTGGGATTGGTCGCTTTAATCGAGTAGCTGCCGGCGTCCCCGCTCTTTGCCTGTTCAATGACCAGCTTGCAGTCGCCCTTATCATCGGTGGTAGTCTTTGCTTTGGGGCAGGCCTTGTTGATCGGTTTGCCGTCTTTCGCCCATTCAATTTTTGGCGGTGGCAATCCGAAGACTGTCGCTTCTAAAATCAGCGGGCAATTGAACTCGACTTTCAGTTTTTCATTGAGCGGCTTTGTGAATGAGGGCGGCCGCTGTGGTTTGACGACGAGAAGATTGGCCGCTGTAGAGGCGTCACCCTTGGCATTCTCTGCGCGCACTTCATAGCGACCCGAGTCATCGAGTTTGGCACTGTCAATGGACAGTGACGCGCTGCCATCTGACTTTGAGGCAATCTTCAGCCGGTCACCGTGATCCACTAGAGCATCGTCCTTGTACCACTGTACAGCAGGCATCGGTTCACCGTCAACTGAGCAGAGCAGTGTCAGCGGCTCACCCTCTTCCACCTTTACATCTTCTAGTGGCTTCTTAATGATGGGCGGATGTGGCTCATTGAGGAACTTGAGTAAGCACACCGACACCGCCTCTCCGAAGTCATTGATCGCCTTACAGCTGATCTTGGCGACGTCATCTTTGGTAATCTCCTTAATCTCCAGGCGGTGTTCATCGTCCACCGTGGTAATGGTGACGCGATGGTTCGGCTGCAGTAGCTGGTCATTCTTGTGCCAGGTGACAGTGGGCGTGGGCACGCCAAAGACGACCGTCTCAAAGATGGCACTCTGGCCGATTTTCAGCTTGTAGTTGGCCTTGTTCAGCGACATGACGATGCTCTCCTCGAGCTCTTTGAGGAAGACGGGCTTCTTGCCGCCGATGAAGACGCCGAAGCTCTCCGTCGCCTCGCCGGCCGAGTTGACCGCCGTAAGGGTGTACTTGCCCGCCATGTCGGCGGTGAAGGCGGGAGAATGCAATGTGTAGCGATTGGCTTTCGGCTCACTGCTGATCAGTTGTTCGTCCACAAAGTTGTCTTCCTTGTACCAGCTGATGATCGGCTTGGGGAAGCCCGTCACAATGGCCTCCACTCGGAGGGGCTCCCCATCAATAGCCGACACATCACTGAGCCCCGAAATGGAGGGCAACGTCGGTTCTGGAGAAACAATATTAGTCGGTAAACCGTTCGAGAACATGTACAAAGAAATGAGCATTGAGGTGGTGGTGGTGGTGGCGGGGCGGTGATATGGGGCAAATTAAACACACACACACACAAAGAGATTGAAAATGAAAGTTAAGCAGCAGTTGGTCATGAAAGCAGGTGTTAGTGCTTGTGGTGACGGGGATTTAGTAGTAAAGGATTGGAGCCACTTACCGTGCACTTCCAAGTTGGCAGTGTCGGTGACTACTCCCTTGGCGTTCTGCGCCTTGCAGCTGATCACGCCAGCGTCCTCCTGCTTGAGGTCCTTCAGAATGAGCACATGCTTGTTGCCGTCGGCGGAGATGAGCACCTTGCCGGGAGCGGCCGCCAGCGGGACGCCGTCTCTGCACCAGCTGACTTGCGCTGGCGGCAGTGCGGACACCACTGCCTCGAAGCGAACATTATCATCGACGACGACAATGGCGTCCTCGATGTGCTTGCTGAATGTGGGCGCACACTCGTGCTTGGTCACCTTCACGTTGCACTGCTGCGAGCACACTGTGGCGAACTCATTTTTAGCAACCACGTGATAGACGGCAGAATCCGCCACCTCAGCAGATGGTATTTTGAGGGCGTAGAGGCTCTCCTTGCTGTCGAGGAGGAGGCGCTCAGTGCCGGCGGTAGGCTTGCCGTTGACGAACCACTGCACGTCGGGCGTCGGCTTTCCGGTGAGGAACACCTCCAGGGCGATCTCATCGCCAGCGTTCACGCTCACCTCGCCTGCGAGGTCCTTCTCAAACTTGGGCTTGCCGTGGACGGTGATGATGCCGTGGCTGGACGCTTCGCCCGCTTCATTGTGAATGCGACACTCAAAGTCGCCGCTCATGATGATGCGAATGTTCTCAATCTCCAGCACGTAGATGTCGTCCATCTCTTTCTTCACTCTAATCGTCGCCTCGGCGCTCACATCCTTGCCGTCCTTGTAGAAAGCCACCTCAGGCTTGGGAAAACCGGCAATCTGCACCGTCATTGAGACAGTCTCGCCCTCCAGCACTTGCAAGTCTTCGAGGCCCTTGAGGAAGCGAGGCTTGGTGATTATGTCAAAGCGGGCGGCAGTCTCCGTGCTGCCATAGTCATTCGAGGCGACGCACTTCCACTTTCCGACCATCTCTTCGGTTGCCTTGAGGATGACCACCTTGTAGGAGTTGTCCAGCTTGTCGTGGACTTTCTTGACGTTCTTATTACTGTCCAAGATTTCCTTGTCGTCCTTGAACCACTTCACCAGTGGTTGTGGGCTCATCTTGTCCAGCTGGACGACCATCTCCACGTTGCTTTCCATCTCCTTGCAGACGATGTTCTTGAGCACCTTAGTGAAGACGGGCTTGGAGACAATGGCCACCTTGGCGGTCGTTTGACACTTTCCGTAGGCGTTGCTCGCCTCCAGACAGTACTCGCCCACATCCTCAGTCAGTAGCTTTTTGATAGTCAGTGTGTACTGGGCACTGGCCTCGTCGTACTTGTACGTACGACGGCTGTCCAGCTTGATCTCCTTCTCGTCCTGAAACCACTTCACTTGTGGCGTTGGATTACCCTTTATGACGGCGGTCAGCGTCACTTCGGCGTCAGGGGCTGTCTCGGCGTTCTCCAGCGGCTTCACCACGTACGGCGGGCCCTGGACAATCAGGTTTCCGGTACTCTGTACCTCGCCCTCGCTGTTGACGGCCTTGCACGTGTACACGCCATGGTCCTCAGGGGCCACCTTTGAGATGACCAGCGCTGAGCCCTTGTCGTCATTGACCACTGCAACGCCTTTCTGGGCCTCTTTGATTTCCTCGCCATTGTGGAACCACTTGAAAGCGGGCTTGGGCTCACCATCCACCTTCACTTCCAGCTTGACGTTCTCATCGCCCACCTTCACTTCAAGGTCCTGCAACTTTTCTTTGAACTCAGGGACGGCTTGCTTTCGCTTAATGGTCAGCTCGGCACTGGCCTCTTCTTCGCCGTACTTGTTCTTGGCAACACACTTGTACTTGCCCTCATCATTGGCAGTTGCCTTCTCTACATTCAGTGCAAAGTTGCCATCCTTGTCTTGTTCCACTATTTTGATACGCTCTCCTGCCTCTACTCGTTTGGCGTCTTTGTAGAACTCCAGAGTTGCCTTTGGTACGGCCGAGCACTGGGCGGTGAAAATGGCCACCTCGCCTTCCCATACTTCAACAGCTTCAAACTTTTTCATAAATTTGGGAGCAGCTGTGTAAAAAGATTTCGAAAAAGGTTATCAGTTTTTGATTTGTATCAGTTATGAACACTTACAGTTGACAGTGACCTGAACATTGCGCTCCTCTTTGCCGAGGTCATTGCAAATCATCACCTTGTAGATGCCTGCATCCTCTGAAGTGGCCTTGTTGATGACCAGCTGACACTTGTCATTCTCAATGACTGCCTTCACTCGTTTTGATTCCTTAATTTCAGCACCTTCTTTGTACCAAACCACCTTTGGCGGAGGCACTGATTCGTACTTGGCCTCCAGCACCAGCTTCTCATTGCTCATCACCTCAATTTTGTCGGTGATCTGGATGATCTTAGGCTTCTTGAGCACAGTCAACTCAGCGGAGGTGTCAGCAGTGCCCAGCTCATTGCTTGCCTGCAGGCGATACGAGCCGGCGTCTTCCGCTTTGACGTTCTTAATGATCAGTGCGTAGTTCTCCTCATCCTCGTAGAGCATCTTGTAGTGTTCACTGGCCTGAAGGATCTCGCCACCCTTGTACCAGTTGATCTTTGGCTTGGGATAGCCGGTGACCTGTGCCTCGAGAATGGCCACTGACTCGCCTTCGCTGATGCTAATGTTGGCCAGCTCCTTCTTTATCACCGGAGCCACTGGAGGCCGAGCCAGCTCTTTGATCACTCCCTGTACGTTCAGTTCAGCACTAAAAACAAACAGAGTATATTATCTATGTAAAACTTAAACCCTTGCCAATTACCTGCACGAAATTTTCTGATTCGCCGTAGAGGCAACACAGGTGTAGATGCCCGCATCGTCTGGCTTGACGTGCTGAAAGATGAGCACAATGTTGTCCTCCTGGTCATCGAACTGCACCTGAAAGCGTTCGCTCGCTTCAAACTCTTTGCCATCTTTGAACCATTTAAATGCCGGCGAACCAGCCCGAGGGCTGGAAATGCTGTTCTCCTCCGTCATCGAGCCGTTTTCGCCATTTGCATCCAGTCCCCAGAAGACATTCTTGTCGCCTGCGTTCGAAACAGTATTCAAAACATTGGTTAGGAAGATAAAAGTACGCTCATACTTGAAACGGAAATTTTGCCCGATGTCTCATCTTCGCCTTCGGTGTTTATAGCAGTGCACCGGTAGACGCCTGCGTCTTCTGGCTTCACGTGCTCGATGACAATTTCAAAGACTTCCTTTGACTGCCAAATCACCTTTAGATGGTCATCTTCTTTCAGCGGCTTATTGTCCTTATAGCTAATATTAAACAGCTAATCAGCACTTGTTATTCGTTGGCAATCATTCACTCACATGTTAATACTTGGAATGGGCAATCCTCGAACGATGATCTCAAAGCGTACTGTAGCCCCTTCAAGCAGTTCAGTGTCTTTTAGCTTTACTTTAAAGCGAGGCGCGTGTGGAAGGAAGGAGCCACCAGGACTGGTCGGACGAGAGTCACCTGTAGTAGAAACGAAAGGAAAGTGAGTGAGCAGTTGTCATGTGACACACTGTGAGTGTGAAATGCAGTACAGAGAAGTCTGCTTTCGATAAATAATGAGGAAATCAAGTGAAGAGCAGCAGTGGGAAAGGCCTACCAGAGAGAACGTTGAGCGTTGAACTGGAGGAGGCGGATTCCTTTCCGTTTGATGCAATGATAGTGTAGAGACCTGCGTCTTCGGGTGCCAAGTTGATCAACTCCAAGTAGTATGTGTCGTTGCTTTTACTGGTGCGGTAGTTCTTGCCAGATAGAATCTTATTGTCCTTGAGCCACTGTACATGCAAGTTGGCCGCATCCACTTTGCATTCAAACTTGGCGTTTTCGCCAACTAGAGTACAGAATGAGAAAAACGAAAAAATGTGCAAAAGTTTTACCAGATGAATTTTGTAAACAACAAAAAAGAGGAATCCATACCATGCCTAGTGAGCGCCTTCAGTGGCTGGGCAATTTTTAAACTCGCCAGCGGTACTTCAATACTGCGAGAAACTTTCATCTTCTTACTGGCCGTCCTGGCGATCACCTTACCGACAGTCTCAGGTGCTGTGGAATGAAATGAATCAGATTCGTCCATTAGAGAATACATGTCTGTGCAGGGGAGAAATAAAAGGGGCAACGTTTGAAGACCGGCCACCACGAGGAGGAAGAAGGGGAAACGGATGTGGGCGCAAAAAAGAGAAATTCGATATTTTTTTGGTGTGCACTTACCGTCAACGGAGGACAATGATTCGCTGCGCAGATTGTCAGTGGCGGCGGTGGTCGCCTCGGTGCTGTCCTCCAGTGCCTCGGCATTGGCATTGCCGGCACTGCTCTTTGAGGAGCTCTCCAGACTGGCAATACTGCTGTCCAGTGTGCTGACTGGTTCACTGGTCGCTGCTGATGCTGCTGCTGCTGCTGTGGCCTCTGCAAGCTCGGTGGCCGCCTTCTTCGCCTTTGCGAGATTGTTGTTCTCGTCAACCTTCACTGGTGGCTTCACCTCCTCACTGGCATTGACGTTCATGAAGAGGTCGTCCTGTTCGATGAAACTCTGCTCCTCGGCCTTCTCCTGTTCGTCGTCCTCAGCTGCAGGTATACGAGTGAGATTGTCGAGCCAGGTTTTCGCCTGCTCCACTGACTTGCACTTCAGTCCAATGGGAAAGCTTCGGTCGGAGAGGTCCTTCGATTTGATGATGAGCACCGTGGGGTTGCTCTCGTCAGGAGCAACTTCCACGTCGGGCAGCTGCAAGTTGGGTTGGCAGTAATAATAATAAGTTGGTGTAAGATGATGGCAAACAATAGAAGACACGAGTCAGTCAGACAGAAAGACGAAATACAAAAATGAAAGCGAGGACGACAAAAGAGCGACAAAAAGAGAGAGAAATAGGCAGCACCCGACAGGCAGCTGTCTGCCAGAAAGTGACTTACTTTAACAATCTTCTTCACGCTATACGNGAAAATGAAAGCGAGGACGACCAAAGAGCGACAAAAAGAGAGAGAAATAGGCAGCACTCGACAGGCAGCTGTCTGCCAGAAAGTGACTTACTTTAACAATCTTCTTCACGCTATACGTGCGCTGGCTTTCGCTGATGTTCTTGTTGATCTCCGTTATAAACATTCGCGTTTTGAATAGAAATATAAATCGCTCCTCTGCCTTTCCGTTACTCTCAATGACGTCAAAGTAGTCCTGTGGTAGTAGAGGGAGTGTGTGTGTGTATGGGAGAGAGAAAACAAACGTGTGTGTGTGAATGTGCGAATTTTACAGTAGGCGAGTGCGCATTTATATTAATAGATAGCGATAGAGAAGAAGGTGTCGCAGCTGCTTACCTTCGCCTGCAGTACATTCTTCAGCATCTTGCTCAGCTTGTCGGAAGACTCGCCGAGCACTGTCGGCAGTGGGGAGGCAGCCGGACGAGCGCCAGTGCCACTGCTGCTGGCTTCCCCAGCTCCGCCATCGCCTCCCTTCTCCTCCTCGTCGTCCACGTCACTTCGGGCAGTCTTCTCCGGTATTGCGGCAATCACTTTCACCGCCTTCTCGAGGTCGTCCACATTTTCCTGCATTCGCGACAAGTGTTTTGACAGTTCCTGGTGTTAGTGTGGGCCAATCAAGATATGATCAAAACAATTTTCAGCTTCACCCAAGTTCACCTACCTTTAGCAGCAACTGGTAATCACTAATTCTTTGGAACGGCAACTAAAAATAGACAAATTATTTTTGTTGTGTTTGTGTAATTAAAATTGATAAACCACTAAATGAGCCCTACCTTTAAGTGATCAGCTAGAGTTTTCTCATCGCGCACTTTTGATGCGTAGTTCTAGTAAAGAGGAATTATGCAATGACATTCGTAGTTCTTCTTTTGATAACTTACATTGAAAAACTCGCTGACATCAGAATTTTCATCCAGAATGGCCAACGCTTTGGGGAGATTTTTACAGTATGTAGTGTGCTTATCAAAGTCGTCTTCCAGCTTGAGGAACATCGTCCCGATGGTGGCTGGCTCTTTGGAGAGCTTCTGAAAGTTCTTCAGCAGTACATCATTGTGAAAGGATAGAAGCTCTTTGAAGCAGCCAAAGATATCATCTTTCACTGCTTTAATTTCCTTTGGCGTAATTGAGCTCTCTGACTGGCGAATGTAGGTACGCTGTACAAACTGCATGTCTCGAATGAGATCTTCTTCGGTTTCAATTAGCTCACGCACTATCATGCTACAAACGGGCAACACTTATAGTTTTTACACAAACAAACAAGTCTCCACTTACTCTTTCTTTTTCTTATTGTCCTTGGCAATAGCCTGTTCATCTTTGGGAGTCTCCTGTGTGACGTCTGGAGCATCAACGTCTACCGTTTCGTTGGTTGCCTTTAGGTAGGCAGATGGAGCAAAGCCTTCTTCCACTTTGATGAAGTTTTTGCTTCTCCTTGTTCGTACTCTCCATCTGTTGTTGCAAAACAAAGAAAGGCAAATGGTTTTACAGGTATTAGAACTCTTTTAGTACTCACTTGTGAGGTTTGTCTTTGCTGAGAACCACCACCTCTTGACCTTCTTTAAGACAGATCTCATCTGTAGCAGAACGAGGTGGCTTGTAATCGAGAATGGCTTCATACACTTGTCCCTGTCGGCGTGAAAGAAGATAGTAAACAAATCAGAAGATGATCAAATGGTCATTGTAATATTGGGGTAATATGGAACGCAAGCAAAAAAGTATAACTGAAAAATCCATTGAGTACCTCACTTTTAGAGGCCGAAACTTTTTGTGAAGAAACAGATTCGTTGAGAAAAGCGGGCTGAACAGAGTTGTTGTTGTTGCTGCTGCTGCTGCTGCTGTTGTTGTTGTTTTCTTGCAAAACATTGTTGTTGATGTCAATGGATTCATCACTTTTACTCGTTTTGTTGCTTGACAAGTTGCATGTAACAAGACTCGATTTTCGTTTGTTGTGCTTCAGAGACTTTGATCGGTGCACTGAATCTCGAGCATTCTCATTCGATGCCCGTCTGGGTCGTTTTCTGCCGCCAGGTTCATCTTCAGATGCCCAGTTTTTCTGCTTGAATTTATGTTTTAGAAGCTGTGATGGGTTCTCCGCTAGATCATTTGGCGGAACGGCAATGCTCCTTCTCGGCTCAGCCTGTCCATTGAGAACGCCGTAGTTCCATTCAGTGGGTCGACCGGGCTTGTCCTTGCCAGGCTTGGCCGGCCTCGGATCAGGCAGTGGAAATGTGAAATTGTCGCCATTGACGTCATGTGCGTAGGTGATATGACAACTGGAACGACGGCCAAAGTAGGGAAAGTCACTTCGAGAGGGAAAGTAATGGGCGCCATCGAGGGAGGCACTATGACCGGTGATCCGACACAGTGACGACGAACGACGACGCTCGGGAGTGCTGGTGCCGGAGTTGGGGTTGCTTGCTGCGGCGACGATGCGAGCGTGATTCAGGTTTTGATCTGACTGCCACTTGGCCAGGGGACTGTTGAACTGCCCATCATTACAGCTGCTGCCTTTTCGACTTTTCGCACTCTTCACTGAGGAGCTTTTTCCCTTCTTTCTCTTTTGTGTGCTGGTTGACCGCTTCAGAACCTTAACAGGGTCACCGTTCACTACAGTGCTCATTGTTGTTTGTTGGGTAGCTGATGGTCAAGTGGAAATTGTGACAGTGGACGGAGTAAGATCACTGAGATAGGAATGTAACACGCATAGTAGCACTACATAAACTTGTTATATTCTGGTTTGCACTGGAAAACGCACACCGACACAGACGAAAAAGGAGATTGAAAATGTCAACACTGAAAAAGTGCGGTAAATATATTGTGGCATTAAACTCGGTGATTAAGCCACAATAGTACTTGATTCAAAAAAGGTGGCTATTTTTGGTTGAAGAGAAAGAGAGACAGATTGAGACTGCGATTAAGCTGAAGAGAGAAAACCCACGATGCTGCTGTCGCTGCTGTTGCATTACGCGACTTGGTTGATCTTACTGGCGGCTCATTTCACTGTCGACTGTAAGGCAAACCTCTCTCGACCTCGCGCAATCTGTGCAACACAACACAGACACACTACATGCAAAGGGAAAAACTGGCGACAGCAGTAATCGGAGACATGGTCCGTAGTTAGGCACTGGCGTCTTGTTTTACAAGCGAAGAGAAGTGGAAGGGAAGAGGTGCCCAGCCAAAGGACACACACAACTGCTGAGCATCACCGGGAGGAAAGAAGAATTGAATAATTTGGCCACTGAATGGAGCAAATGTGCAATTGTGCGCGCCAATGACGATGGCAATGTTGAACGGGGAGTTGAGGGAGAGAGGCACTGAATGTAAGTGTGTAAGTGTGTGAGTGAGTGAGAGTTAGTTCTCGCGCACCACTAGACGCCATCACTTTCATCATCATCATCCTCATCAGCCGAGTATACTTTGTACGCCAGTAATGACGGGCTATAATTAGCAAAAGGCAGATTTTTTAAACTTGAATTTTCTCGCTCTGCAAATAAATAATATCATCTGCGAGGACTAACTTCCAGTGCAGTGCTAAAGTTATCTGCCGCCGTGAGTGGTGTTTGAGTAAGTGCGGGAGTAAGTGCAACAAAAGTAAGTGACACCAAAAGTGAGCGAAGAGTAAGAGCGGGCCAATTGATTAGCCTTAATTCGCGTCGACCGTGAAAGCGGCCACTGTGCACTGTGCACTGCTAATTAGTGTGCCACACTGACTTTCTTTTATCAATCTGGTGAAAAGAGAACCTATTTTTCTTTTTCTAAGTCCAAAAGCGCAAAATATTCAGTTTGTCTACAGAGTTCACTGCCAAAAACTATTACTGAATGGCAGTCTATCAAAGTAATGGCAGCCGTGATTAAGCTCACAAACACACAAACACTATTAATAACTGCAGTTTAATTTGATAAAAAGGGCAAACTTGTAGACACTTGTAGCACTTTGTACTTTGTTTTAAATCGACTGCGCTGTGTTTACAATTAACCAAAGAAAGACAGATGCCTTGAAAGACATCAATAGATCATTCGACCCGGCGCAGAGAAATCATCGAAATGACACGAGGAAGGTCAGTATTGGTTGGAAGGCAGGCAGATGTTGCGCTGAAGTTGTGGCACTGGTAGCCGGCGATCCTCTGTGCAATATTCCTATTCTCCCTCTTTCTCTGTCGATTCAGTCTTTTCTGCAAAACAGCTAATATGTCTACTTGAAGTGTATATTAGAGGCGTACTAGTAGAGCAATCAGAGGCAGTAGTGTGGCAGCTGTGGGCGCGTAATCTGGCCATCAGTGCACATCGACCATTGCTTGGCGCAATACTCACAGAAACCGAAGCAGACAAACATGCAGCCACTGACGCCTGCAGAATGCCATTCTCTCTCTCTCATGCAGAGTTCATCCGAGTTTTGCCGGGAGAACCTTCGTCATAATTTATCAGCATCTCGAATTGTTGTCAAAGCAGGCCAGTAGTGTGATGTACTGCAGCTGTACTGTGAAAAAAGAGAGACACTGCTCTGAGCCAGTCTGCCTTCTCTGTCGTTTTGTGCAATAAGGTTTACTTTTCCTGCCAGTGGTTGCATCAACAGCAGCAGAGATGGTTGCCGCTGCAGAACACAACTGCAGGGGAAAAAGTCGCAAAACGCACCTCGAAGAACAGGGCCACATCTTCTCGCAGCTTCTGTGCAGCAGCAACAGTCTTTCTTTGTACGCCCGCATGTGTGTTTCTGGTAAATTGTCGCTCGCTCACACTGCCTCTGCTCCACTTGCCTACTCTTCAATGTGAGGAATTTGCCGACGACGATGACGATGAAAATAATTCAAATGACAGAGAATAGAAAAAGACGTGGTGGTGGTGGTGGTGGTGGTGTGTTAGTTTAGAGAAACTGTTCAGCACCAGTGGCACCATTGGGGCACAATGCTCGATGCGACAGTGCCACTGCCATTGTGATGGCAGCTCAATTGTGCCGCTCTCTCTCTCTTTCACTTTTTGTGCTGCCTCTGTCTGCCCGTGCAGCACACTAACAGACAGATCAACTCTACCACTGCACTTCAACACTGTAAATATAACTAATATAAATATTTCAACTCTTTCCTCGTTCTTCCTGCTCACTGGCACAGAAACCCTTGCAGACGAGATCGTCGACAGGACTGACAAAAAATCCTTTCTCTTAGACTGCTTCTGGCGGAAAATGTGCATCGACATGCAACCTACATTTACTGACATGGCAAAAAAGGAGTGCACAGACGCGCATATTAATGCGGTAGTTAGAAACACACACACACACATGCAGACTAACGCACAATTTTGAGTGAGTGAGTGAAAGAATAATTGACTTGTCTTCAGACTACATTTCTTGTCCGTTCTGGAAAGTGATGAGCACCCGATCAGATGTGCAAATGGCAACGGCTCTGCTTGGCTGCAGAGGCAAAGAGCCTACTACTGCTGTTTTTTCTAATTGAAAACCGGAGATTTACTTCTCATATGAAAATGGTTAGCATGACAAGGTCGCCATATCGGCGATGAATCAGTAAGCGGTAAGCAAAGGGAAAAGGGGAAAGAATATAAAACAGCCAAACTTACGGCATCTTTGGAGTCAAGTCGTGCGAGTGTAGAGGATTGGCGAGAGGAGCTGGTGAAGCGTGATCGTCTGCCTGAGCTGCCGCCAAAGCCGCCCTCATCACCGCCGAGTTCGGTCACGGAGTACTGAGCGGAGAAGGAGCGAGTTTCCTCGTCCGTCGGTGTGGTCACTTTGTAGTCGTCAAGGCTGTCCTTGTAGTCGGAAGTGAATCGCCGAGAGGAGTAGGCACTGTAGGCGCTCTCACGCCGGTCACCAGTGCTGCCGCCGTCCTCATCGAGGTAGCTCAGTCGAGTCGTCCGTCTAGTGGTGCTGCTGCTGGAAAAGCCGTAGTCATCGTCGTTGTCGATGCTGTACCGCGAGACCCGACTGGTCGTCGCGCCAACGCTGTCCGACTCATCTCGGCTGCCAAAGCGCGAGTAGTTGCGAGTGCTCGAGTAGGAGTAGTCGTCATTGTCTCCGCTGGACAGTAGACTCTTGTACTTGCTGGTGAAGCGACTGGTCGCGCTGCTGCTGCCGGCACCGCCCTCGTCAAGGTCGCTGTCAGTGGAGTAGCGACTTGACAGACGAAGGCGGGAACTTCGCGAGGTCAGTTCATCACCACCGGAAGTGTCGTCGCCGCCAAAGTTGTAGCTGCGCCGAGTGTAACTTGACACTGAAAGACTGCTGTCGTCATCGTCCCCTGTTGTTCGACGGGATGTTCTCGATGTGGAGGTTGTATCTGTGTGTGTGTTTGTGCGAGTGTATGGGTTTGGAGGAATGAAACACAAAATGTGTTAAAGGGGGCACTTCACTAGAATAAAATGGGTACTATAAAGTGGTTACCATCGTTGATGCTGCTTAGTCGGTACGAAGAAGACTTGTAGGATGACCGGTAGGAAGACATGCTGTTAAAAGGGAAGAGTTGAGATGAGACACAGACACTGAAGAAAAAAGGAAACTTGGGGAAATAGATACCTGTTGGCTACTGAATGCCTTGCATGATGGACAGATCAGTGTGGCCGATTGGCTGCCGGGCAATGCAGTAGGTCAGACCACTGGAGACAACTCAATAGTGGTGGTGACGGCGGTGGTGGTGGTGGTAGTAGAAGTGATGGTACTGATGGTAGTGATGGTAGACAGGCAGTCCGGATGACGGAGCTGGTGAAGAAAGCCACTGCTCGAGCCAAGAGACCAAATCGGCAGTCTGGTAGCACTGTGGCTGCACTCGCTCTCTGTGCAGGAAAATGTTGTCTTCTCTCGGGCAAATGGCAATTTCGAACATGGGAAGGGAGATAAGTCGGGGGAATGCAGTCACACACACACACACACACCGCTCACTCTCTGCTCAGGAACAAGCACACCGTATTTCTGTCTGTGTGCGTTGGCTTCATTTTTAAAGGCGTACCAAAGGCATAGGAAGCACACGGCGCTAAGGCGAGAAGAAATGTTTGAGAGTAAGAAGGAGGGGAGGGGAGGGAAAGTGTGTACGCAACAAAAACGATGTACAGTTTTCTACTTCTCCACAATCGGTGTCTGCTTTACCGCAGCGGAGCGGTTACCGCAACAGGGCAGAGAATACAGGGGCGCCAGTCGATTCGGTGCCACCGTTTGCTTTCTCCTTCCTTCCTTCATTCTCTCTTCCTGTTGCAGGCAATCTTTCTGCCAACGACAACATCTGTCCCTATATTATGCGCTAAACTGTCAGAGCGGAGTACAATTCACTGCACTGCACACTTCCGTTTTCACCGTTTTTCTTTTCACTCCCTGGACTTTAGTCAAGTTTGGTCACCAGTGAGTGTGTGAGAATGTAATTTGGTAATTACCATCAATCAATTTATGTAGGCTGTTTTAGAAAACTTAACAGGGAAGCTTTGTCTGATACGCGAAGTGGCAACGCTTGCAGTGTATGGTTGCCATTTTCCTGTGAAGCTGCTGTCGGTCTGCTGCCGCAGCATGCCGTGCACCAGGCAATTGGCAATATTTCAATTAATCACATCGACATTTACCCTGGCTAGGCAGTGCTCCACTAGACAATGGAGAGAAGAAGCTAAATGAAGTGAAGTAGTGTTATGTAGCAGAGGCTTCTCAAATTAGCAGCTGCTCTTCACCATAGTTCGCCAAGCCAGCACAGTTAGCAGTAAGTGGTAAGCCGGTGAAGAGAGTAAAAGAGGGAAGATGACGGCGGGCAGTGTGCGCCATGCCCGACATTCCTCCGGTATTCTTTCCTTCCTCCTACTTCACCGAGGCAGCAGCAGAGCAAGGCACTTCTTCGAATGCCTTGAAGCCTAATTGAAAATGCGACAGTGTGTCTCCACTAGAGAGACGTGCGGCTGCCACGTCGTTGCCATTTAATCTGCCTGTTCAGTCTCTCTCTCTCTCTGCACGGGCAAGCTCGCGCGTATAAATAGCTGGAGCATATATGGCCTGCTCTAAGACTGGAAAAAGAGAAAGAGAAAGAAAGAGAATTCGTCACTGGAGCAACGGTGACACTCTGCCGAAGGATGATGAGCCTTCTCTGAATCCCACTCTCTGCTCTCCTCGCTCTGCCGAAGATTCCCAATGAGGGCGATGAGGCGCGCGCTGTCTTCTGGTGCAGATGCGCCGGCTTCAGCTCGTGCAAGTGGTGTTACTGCCGAAAAAACAGCATCCTCTAGCTTACCTAAGCCAATGCGTAGGCCCCAAATGAGAGTCTTTGTTTACCCGAACAACGGCAACTTGTTTACAACCACAAGCTCGAGTAGCGCCATTCAAACTGAAAAGACTTGCCCTATCCTCCCCACTCAGGCACATTGGCTCATTGTGACATTGAAACCTCCTCCTCGATTTGGCAATCAAACTAAAGCTGCGCTTTTATTGGAAAAAAATATTTACAGCATGTGGTGTTAGAAATACAGGATGGCTTAAAACAGCGGTTCAGTAGTAATTCTGGAAAACAATAGGTTCACATTCTCTAATTGGTCGTAGACAGAAGCAGTCAAAATTAAATTTCCAATGAGACAAAACCTGCCAAAGTGCAAATCTACAAATTAGAAAAGACCCGCCTCAAAGCGATTTGTAGAGTTGTCTTTTCGAATGGATGTCATGACAACATGATCACATGGTCAACAAAATCAGCGGCATCAATCTGATTCTGGTAAAACAATCTGCACTTTATGGTCTCAGTTTCTGGTTCTCCGGCACAATGCAGCACGTCAAGCTAAGATCAAACTACCTTCTTCACCATTATGTGGTTGACTCGCTTAAATCGGCAAATTTTCTGCGATATTCGTATTTTTCAACTGCCGCACTGAACAAGGATCGAGGAGAAATTGTCATTCCCAAAGCGATTAAACGGTAAGGCAGTATTTGGCAACAATATGGATTTTGCTAATGAAACATGTTTCTTCAATTTTAGCGGTCCAACCGACATACTTGAAGCATTATCTTCGACTATTAAAAGCGTAAGTAGTTTCAATTTAACTGATTTGCTTTAACTGAATGTTTTTTAGGATTTTACTAGCCCTCATTACAAGTATCTTGATGACCCCTACTTGACTCCAATCAGCAACTTTGATAAGGTTTGTGACAAATGAAGTAATTTGACAGTATTACAATAAATAATTAACTTTTTTTTCAGAGAACATTCTCGTTGGCAAAAGAAGCCGGTCGCAAGGCTGCCCATTACTTTTTTGACAAGTACCCGGAATACTTTTACCGAGATCTGTCAGAACCTAAAATTGAAGCGTTTACCTACAAGGAAATTTTCGACGATAGTATGGAGTTTGAAGAACTGGATCTTCAAAAGTGCATCACTCGAAGCGACATTTCCAACGCAATAATTTGTTACAGCAACCTTGTCAAGCAAAACAAAGAGATCAGTGAAGAAACACTACTTGATCTACTCGACCTTGTTTCATTCTACAACGGTGAAAATAATCCAGAAAGATACATTGAAGAAGATTGGTTCAAGAAAAACTTTGAACTTCGACTAGAAAGCAACTTTTGGAAAGACAATGGTTTTGCTGAACAGCTGTTTGAAAGTCTAAAGAGCAAAAGTAGTCAAGCATACAGCTCGTTGATAATGGGAATGTGCAGATATTTCCAGGCTGAACGAGCTTTTGCATTCTACAAACAGGCCATTGAATCGGGAATGAAGCTAAACGTACACACTTACAATGCACTAATTCTTGCCTCATACAACTTACACTCGACTAACGAGGAACGCTGGAAAACGGTTCTGGAAGTATTAAAGACCATGCAGGCCAATGAAATCCGTCCCGATTTAGGGACAATGAACGCAGTTCTGAAGCAAGTCTCCAGATATAAATTTTGGAATATGAACACTGATTTGGCCAAGAAAGCCTTTAATGAGTTTGCATTCAAATTTGACATTGAGCCCAGCTTAGCAACTTACACTTATCTACTGAATGTCTTCCACCGAAGCAGAGGCTCGCGTAGTTCGCTGATTTACGAAATCATGAACAAGTTAAACGCCAAAACATTTGAATTGCGGGACACTGAGGACGTGAACTTTTTTTACACTGCAATGGAAGTTTGCTTCAACATGAATGATCTTGCGCTGGCCTACAGAGTGCATGAACTAGTTGAGAAAAACGGCAAACTGCTGGGAAGAGGCACCAATCAAAACATCTACTTTACTCGTTTTCTGAAACTCTTGTGCTCCGCAGAAAGTTTTGAAAACTTTATGGTTGTCTACACCAAGTACGTGCCTAACATCTACACGCCCAACATTGATTTGATTGAGCAGATTTTGAAGACGATAAAGATCTACAAATCTTTAGACTATGTTGGACAGATTTGGAATGATATCGTTCTCTGCGCTTACACCAATCGCATTGAACTTTTGCAGCTTTTGCTTGAGACTATGGATGAAATTAAGAAGGGTGACCGTAATTCGGCTACTTTTAACAACATCGGTAAGCAGTTTTTCATTGTTTAGCTATGGCACTATTTTTACCAATCATTTTCCTTAAGTTTTGGACATTTTTGAGCGATTCAATAAGAAAATCGAACGTAGTGCTGAAAGAAATTCATCTACACTTCAGTGAGTATATCGATAATTACTTTTGGACAAAATTAATCTTTTTATGCAGGTGGACTTCGAAATCACTTTCGTATTGTATTTCCATCCTGACAAAAGCGGAAAATATCGATGCTGCTTTTACCGTTTTGCAAAAACTGGACGAAATCAAAGACGAAGTACTTGATCAAGCTGAGTAAGTTATTTTTCAAACAACACGTAAACAACCAAAAATTAATTTTACTTTTCATCTTTAGAGCTCAAAGTCTGGTAGACTTTTGCAAGTATGCGTTTGAAGTTGAGAGTTACGACAAGGCACTCTTTTGTCTGAAGTATTGCCGAGAGATGGATCGAGACGACGTGATCAGCGCCGTAGCAAAAGTCTACGAAAATGTCGACGTGGGAAATGTCAAAGTGAAGACTGAGCTGGACAAGTTTTTAAAATAATGGTTGTAAGATGATTTATTTTTGTAGTATAATTTTTATCATCACAGTTCATAAAAAAAATTAATTAGAAGTTTCTACAACTTTATCATCTTTGAAACGTTCTTTGAAGACGATGGATTGCTCCTTGTGAGTAGTTACGCCTGCTTTGGAGTTGCAGTTGTTGACGCAGCTGTACACTAGGATTGTTTCAAAGTCTAAATCAATCGGACTTGTGATGTGTGGCAGTTTAGCACGACAGAGAATGCTGATCAGTGCGGGCATAAGCTGAAGCTCGAAGACACGGGCTGCACCGCATTCGGGGCAAGGCTCGGCTTTGGGTTCGGCATCGGCAGAGCTGAGCAGTGGCTGACCGGCCCAATCGTAGCGAATAATTTGCTCAGGGCACCTTCGCAGTCGCTTGTAGAAGTGGTAGTTGATGGCATCTTCTCTGAAGGCATTTGTGTACTGCTTCTCATAACCTTCGCCTTGAACATTTTGCTCCTCTAAACAAGCCTTTGCCAGGTTTTCCAAGTTTTTCTTTTCATTTTGATTTATCTTCCACTCCTTGTGAGGCTCTTCGAATACGGAAATATAGTACGATTTGAAAAAAGTATTCTTTTCTTCAGGTTTTTCATTTTCATTTAGGCTCAAACACCTGTCAAAATCATCATTCAAATTGCCATTTTTATCATTTCCATTTTTGTCGTCATTAGAAATGCCCCACGCATCTTCAAATAGATTCTCATTTGCTTTGGCTTTTGATTGTTTTTGTTGCATGTGTTCCGTTAGTACTCGAAATACGGAATATTCTTTCTTTGAACACTTTTGGTTGACACAGGCGAAAAAGTACAAAACTCGATCGTTTGTGGTGTTGTCAACAGGACAGGAAATTTGAAAAACAAATGCAGTACTTTGAGAGCAAGAACTGCAGTTAAATTGTTCCCTGAAAACAGCTTTTGAGCTAAACACAGGTGAACCGCCTGAAATGGAAAAGTATTATTCAAAAATGTAAACAACTAGTTGTGAAAAAGTTACCAATCTTGTTGTCAGTCCAGTGTGAAGAATTAATTTCTTCACTGTCCACCACTCCAATGAAGATCGGAGACTCCATTTTGGTGTAAATTTAAAATACTTTTAACTTTTAAAGCATTTGTACAAAACAATAATTTAAAAAATACGATTGAATTGTCAGAAAAAAATAGTTTTTCTAAACACTGGTCTTTAGGATATTTCAACTCAATTGAGGTAACTGTGTTAGCACCAGTGAATTTTTTGGGCATGTTTCATTTCAAACATTTTTAGTTTTATCCACATTTGTTTGTCATCACAAGACTTTGTTATCAAACCTAACAAAAAACAAAAACAACATCTTGAAGTAGATTTATTAAAGAGTGCATCAATAAAAGCATCTTCAGTTGAGGGAATTAATGGAAGTTTTTCAGGAAGTATTAATTGAGGAAAAGTGAATCCCCCTTGAGAATGCATTTTAAAACCCTTTGAATGATGTTCAGATGCAGCATTCAACAGCTCACTTCCACTTGTCAATCTTTGACTAATCGACTTATGCGAATAGTCCTCGAAGGGGACTGCCATTGTACCGAAGAGCAAATGAACCTCATAATCATAATTAGAAACTTGTATGAATAACTTATGCTTATTTTAAAATGATCACCAGTGGTGATTGTCAATTTGTCAGCTGACGACTGTCCCTTTTAAAATTGGTGGTCTACTGACTAAACTGTTCAAATGAACCGATGAAGATGACTACTGCTGATGGGAAAGCAGCTTGTTTGTTATAAATAAAAAAGTAATTAGTAATTGCTCGACGACATTGCCGGAGAGGGAAACTGTTCGAAGAAGGAAAATTGAAACTGGTTTGACGGGCCGACTGAGTGATTGTCTCGATGCGTGCCAATTGGAAGTGCAAGAAGAAATACCGAGGAGAGAGAAAGAGCGAAGTACGGGCTTGAAGAGATGCACAGGTGGTGCTGAGAGTGAGAGAGAGTGCCGCACATCGAAGAGTCCGACCAACTGACTAACTAACTGATGTGTGCGCCCGTACACCTTTTTGCACCGTAACGCGCCACTGACAACTATTTTCGTTTGCAGAGATGATGCAGACCGTGTTAGTGAGGCCGCTTCAGTGCGGCTACTGGTCGAGTTATAAATAGGCGGTCAGAGGTTGCCCCTAGTCCTTTGGCCGCATTTCCTTACCATGCATACACACTCGTAGGCAAAGAGCATCATCGTCTCTTTCTCTGTAGACTTTCTATTTTTCCTATGTTCATCACCGAAAGTGTCCGCCATAACCTGCCGTTGCCGTACGTCCGCTTTCTTGGCGCCCATTCCATTCGCAGTACTGGCACTTGCATTTATTGCTGTTGCTGCTGGTGTTGCTGCTGTTGGTAGCAGGTGGTGTCTGTCCGGTGCTTTGTTTCTTGTGCAGTGTCCGTTCTGGCCAATGTCAACATGTGCACTTTCACTTTGCCCCACACTAACTTCGCCAACGAACGAGCACATTCATTTGTCGAATAAATATTTTCCAGTCCGCTAACTGTCATTTCGTGGGCTTTCTTTGTTTTCTTTAATCTGTGATCATTTCGAGCGTACCCCCAATACTAGATGCGACGAATGATGGCCGTGTGGAAGACAGTGCCGTTTGCACTAAACCGGCGCACTAAACCTAACTCATTATCATCAGTCCCCAGCAATCTGTGTACCCTTCTAAGTGTTCTTTTGCTTTTGGCAGTCTGTGTTCCATCTTTTTTGGCTAGTGATTACGACCAGATATTTGATGAAGTTGATCAATTTCCGGCGAGAAGATGTGATGAGTGCGATCAGAATGCAATACACATGAACCGATCTTTATCTGGTGAAACATCAGATCACCAGTCAGGCGGCAATTCCAGTGATGTTAAGCATCCAATCGATTGGAATGAAGTGGAGGAGAACTTCCATAAAGTCCTCTCCGAAGATGAAGTCTTTCACAAGTGGGACACTATGGAGACAAACATGAAATCAGGTCTCGATTGACACTAACTTTCAGTGTCCACAATTCAACAATGGTTTGGTGATCTCTAACATCTTCATTTTACAACACTTCACCAGGCATTCGCAATCTACTGAAGACAATTTTCCCCAAAGTGGTCTCTCTCTCCGCTGACGCTAAAGTAAGCGGCAACTGCTCAGCAGGCATTCTCAAGTGGATCGTCAGTCTGCGGCACATGAAAGCCTGGTCACTAAAAAGTAAGTACAATTGATCATTAGTGTTTTTCTACAAAGTAATCTAATTTTAGTGCTGGACGCCATTGGTAAGCCTCCGTCGGGCATCTTTGAGGGAGTGGTCAGCATGTTCGGAAACTACGACCAGTGCCTCAAACTGCGCGTCTTTCATGAGGACGATGACGGCACTGACGGCCTTACTGCTGATCATGAAGAGCCAAAGGAGTTTTTCCGAGGACAGTATTGTGTGGCCGAATTTAAACCATGGCTTACAAAGAAACCTCATTTCTACGGCATGAACACAGTTCTGAAGAGCTCGTTCCATGAACCTGATTCGGTTAGTGATTGGTTAAGTTTACTCATCATCGCATCTCAAACGTTCAATTTCGTTTTCTTCCCAGGTTTTTAGTGAGTTCACTAAAATGGCAGTGTTCTTTCACTTTTTGTCATTTCGCGTTGACTTGTGCGTACCTTCAACTTGCACTAAAGATGACATTCAACGAGTGGCCAACTTAAGTATGCCTGATAACTTTGGTAGCCTTTTTCATCAGTTTGGTTATGTTCTAATTTATTTCCGCACAGTGGCCAACCTTGCCGATTTTCGCGCTCGAGTTTTGCGTTGTGAAACGGACGACGGTGAAACACTGTGGACTTGGAACTTTCTCGCAATCAGCGTCGTTGTAGCCATTCTGGTGACGGTTAGCTGCCTGGGGACACTCCTTGAGATGTCACTCATTAGCTGTTCATGGGCTCACGCCAAGTACCTTGCCCTATTCTCAGTGCGCAAATCATGGAAACAGTTGACGGTTTTTGGTAGTCAAAGCAGCAGTCAACTTAGTGCACTTCATAGTGCAAGGGCTGTAGTGCTGCTGTGGATCATTGCAGTGCACACTTTTATCGTCGTCGACTTTCAGTACTTCCGTATGTAATATAGTGCCTTCATTTTGGATACTAAATATCTTCTTTTTAGGTGAAATGCAAACACTCAAATCATGGGCGACCAAATGGCCAAGCCAAATCTTCACCAACAGCCTCTTTCAGTTTGACTGCTTCATTCTCATCACTGCCTTTCTATTTGCCCACATCAACATTGAAAACAACGGCTCAAGCTTGATGAAATACATTCTCCGACGTTACCTCAAGTAGGGAGTTTGATCAATTGATAACATTTGAACATTCTATAATGTGTCATTTGCAGAATTTCAATTCTGATTCTGTCGATGATGCTTGTGACACTGTCACTGCCATTTGTACTGCAACGTGGTCCACTGACGCAGGATTTTGTGGCCAAGCAGACGCAAAGCTGCCAGGCTGACGGGTGGCGCAACTTGCTGTTCTTTCAGAACTTTTTTCATACCGATGTAAGTACACTGGTAACTTTTTAACTAAATAGACTTTACTCATTATTTTAATTTTGCTCAGTGCCTTCCTTCCACTTGGATCTTTTGCGTTGAACTGCAGTTGATGCTCTTCACTAGTCCACTTTTACTTCTTTTTTACTACTCATCAGAACGCACTCTGACGAGAAAGCTTTTCTGGTTTGCCTTCCCCCTTCTCGTCATCGGCGGGTTTCTCTACAATTTTCTTCAGGTTTACATATACAAACTACCGCCGATGTACTACTGGACACTGCCTGATAAAGAGTAAGTCTCTTAATAAAAACTACCAGATAACTGAGATTTACCGTTTATTAGGCAGCGAAATGAATACTTTGACAATTACTTTTACAAACCATGGACTCATTTGTCCGTATTTGCTATTGGTTTCTACGCCGGAGTGTATCGGAAGCTGAGCAATTGCCAGCTGAAGACAATTCAAATTGATCAAGTACGTCTAATGATAGGTATCATTTCAATTAAAATGACCATTTTTTGTTATAGAGCGTCAACATTTGCCTGGGTCACTTTCTTAGCATCCTAACCATAGTGACCTTTACTTTTGGCTTTCATGACTGGATCACCGGCGAGCTACCAAATGTAAGTACTTCAACACTATTATTCTCCAAATTGATACAACTCTCAATCAATTCACCAGGATTCAGTCTCAGCAATGTACAACTCCTGTCAGAATGTGTTCCTAGCACTGGCATACAGTTGGATTCTCTACTCAATTTCAGACAGCTCAAAGTCGCATTCTGAATCATCGCCATTGAGACGACTGCTCAGAGTCAAATTCTTTCGAATCCTCGGCAAGCTAACACTGACTGGATACCTGACACTGCCACTTGTGCAGACATTACTCCTCTCCAGTCAACATCAGCACCTGTACTCGAGTACACTCCTTATGGTGAGTACTAGTGCACTGATTGAGAGCTGAAAAGAATCATGAATGTTCCTTCCACAGGTCTATGTAATTCTAGGAAATGTGATTTTCACCTATGTTTTTGCGCTGACTCTCTCCCTACTGGTGGAGATTCCCACAACTCAAATTGTTGCCTCTTTTCTCAACTATTTATTTGCCGCTTCGCAGGTATCAGAAACAAGTTCAGTAACAACCACAGAGAAGGACAAACTGGAAACCCCTCATCCACCGTCGTCTAATTCTTCCTTTCAGGCAGCCATAGAGTTGCCTATATGCAAAGAAAAGTTATAATTTTGCACTTTTGTAAATTATTTTCTCTTTTGTACAAACTTTTTCCCTCTTTCTATCTCTTTCTTGTTTGTGTCAATAAAAAAAGTTATGCTTTGAGTGACTTCCTGATCATTTGAAAAAATGCAAGTTTATGCTCGTTGGCAGTAGATGGCGCATGCATTTTCCAAGCCCACGTGCTAAAAATTAGCAGCTGCTGAGCGTATTTTTGTTTTGCTAATTTCATCATTTTTGTACATCTTGCGCGTTCCAAAAGTCGTTCCAAGATGGGTAAAAAGGGGAAAATTGGAAAGCAGCGTAAAGATAAGTTTTACCATCTTGCTAAAGAAACTGGTAAGTTGTTGATTTAAGTTTTTGTAGCACATCAATTCTGATTCAGCGTTGTTTTGCATTTTGATTTTTTCAATCAGGCTATCGGTCCCGTGCCGCATTCAAGTTGATTCAGCTCAATCGAAAGTTTGAGTTTCTTCAAAAGTCAAAAGTGCTGATTGATCTCTGTGCTGCACCAGGAGGATGGCTTCAGGTGGCTCAAAAGCATATGCCCGTGCCGAGCATCATCATCGGCGTTGATTTAGCACCAATAAAGCCAATCCACAATGTGATCACATTGCAGGAAGATATTACAACTTCAAAGTGCCGAAGCTTGCTTTCCAAAGAATTGAAGACATGGAAAGTGGACATTGTTCTCAACGACGGTGCTCCCAATGTGGGTAAAAGCTGGCTTCACGATGCATTCGAGCAGAATCGACTTACACTGTCTGCCCTTCATCTGGCTTGTGACTTTCTCATCAAAGGCGGTTGGTTTGTCACCAAAGTGTTTCGCTCCAAAGACTACAATGCACTCATGTGGGTGTTTAAGAAGCTCTTTCAGCGAGTTCACGCCACAAAGCCTCAGGCTTCTCGAAATGAGTCTGCCGAAATTTTCGTCGTCTGCCAAAACTTTATTGCTCCAGATAAAATTGATCCCAAGTTCTTCGATCCAACGTATGTTTTTGCTGAAATAAAGGAAAAGGAGCAGAAGATGAGCAAAGCCGACCTTTTTAAGCCTTTGATTAAACCCAAAAAGCCTAAAGCTGAAGGCTATGAAGATGGAAATATATCGCTGTACACTAAGATAAAAGTGTCTGATTTTATTCAGTCCCCAGACTTTATTGAGCTGCTCAGTAAAGCGAATGAGGTACGTCACTTTATCATTTGACATAATTCAGTATTGAAAATATCTTTTCTCAGATTGTAATGGACTCAAACGAAGTTAAAAATCATCCCTCTACAACTGGCGAAATTCTCGAATGCCTAAAAGACTTGAAAGTTCTCGGAAGAAAAGAGCTAACGTATGTCGTTTTTAGCCAAAAAAAGTCGTTTGTTGTAACTTTTAAATTTTTTTTCAATTTTCAGAATGCTTATGGATTGGAGAAAAGAGGTTCGATCAACTCTTGTCAAAAAGTCATACAATGATCAGGGGAATGAAGAGCTGGAAATGAATGTGGACAATAATAACGAAAATGAGGATGATGAAGTGGACGAGATTGAAACTGAACTGAGCGAAGAAGCACAAAAGTTAAAGCGAAAAAAGCGAAAGGTCGCTAAAGAGAAGAGGAAAATTGAGGAAAGATTGGCCCTGAAAATGGTCATTAAAAATGATCAACTGGTCCAGGAAGAACAGGACCTGTTCAATCTAAAGAACATTCGCAAAGCCTCCCAGCTCAACGCTATAAAAGATGTTGAGCCAAATCATGAAGACGACAATCAGGTCAACTTGGACGTTGCGCCAAGTTGCGCCAAGAAAAAACGCATTCAAGTTGATAAAGAATCAGATGAGAAGTACTTTGACCCGGATGACAGTGATGGAGCAGGCAGTGACGATGATGACGACGATGAACAGCTGATTTTGTCGGAAGTTGAAGACCAAGAAGATGACGATGACGAAAGTGAAAATGGAATTTTAGTTGATCTTGAAGATAAAGATGAAAGGGTGGATAACATTACAAAAATGTTTTTCGAGAACAAAATATTCCATCGTCTTGGCTCTGATTCAGCTGCTCATGGATCTACTGGCCATGATCTCGATGACGACGACGATATTGAGCTGGAAGAGTTGGAGAATCGAATTTCCAATGTTACCAAAGGAAAATCTAAAGCTGAAAATGAGGGTAAAAAGGAAAAGACTGCTTCACAGACCTCCAAACCTACTCGAAAAGTAACTTTTGATGACGACGACGATGAGTCTAATAGTTCTGACTCAGATGAAGAAGGGAACAAAGAAGGGCAAGGAAGCAAGTTGAACCAGAAAGCACTTACCCCGGAAGAACTGGCACTCGGTGCGCTGATGATAAAGTCAAAGAAGACTAAACGCGATCTGCTGGACAATGGCTGGAATCGATTTGTGCACGAAGATGATGATTTCATACCATCCTGGTTCAGGAAGGAGGAAGAGGCGTTTTACCGCAAACCAGTTCCCGTGTCGAGTGACATGGTCAAGGAGTACAATGATAAGCTGAGGGATATCAACTCTCGACCGATCAAGAAGGTGATGGAGGCAAAGGCGAGGAAGAAGAAGCGTACCCTGAGGAGGCTGGAGAAGGCGAGGATAAGGGCAGAAACGGTTACCGACGAAGCCGACATGACCAACAAAGAGAAGGCACAGTACATTCGCAGGTATTATTTAACTGGTTCCGATGTTTCTTTCACACGCTAATTTTCACTCCTTTCCTAGCATCTACAAGAAGGCAGTTCGCAAGGATAAGGACAACGTGCAGATGGTGGTGGGCAAGAGGCAGTTTGGCAATCGACGGCCTCCCGGGGTCAAGGGCAGATACAAGGTGGTGGATTCTCGTCTGAAGAAGGACAAGCGAAACCAGGCAAAGTCGCAGAAGGGAGGCAAGAAGGGACGAAGCAAGCCAAGTGCTCCAAAAGGCAAAGGCGCATTCAAGAGTAAGAAGAGTTCATTCAAAAACAAAAGTGGAGGAAAGGGAAAAAGCAAAGGGCGCAAGTAGAAATTGAATTTACCAGTTTTATACAGAAAATAAAATTATTTTTTGAAACCTAAAGTTCAAAATGATGTGCGCTTGCCGCCGATCTGTTTTCAGCTGCGTTCACACTTGTTGGTTGAAATAGTGCTTAGAAATAGCCGTTGTGTTTGCCGCCGATTGTTTGTGTCATTTGTGCCCGTTTGTGCCAGTATTCCCGTTCTGATCTTTCCGCTTCAAGCACCGATAACAAAGTACCTGTGTCATGTCATCCACCGGAGTTTGCAGCTCAATCAGCCTCAAAGGTTCAGTGAAGATTATCTGTGAATTCTTCAGTAAGTACTGGCTCTATTCAATGAAAACTTGTGTTGACATTGTGAATTGTCTTGCAGATTACGCTATAAACAATATTCTCTTTCAACGTGGAATTTACCCGTCTGAATCGGTATTTCTTATTCAAACTGTCACTCAATAAACCTCATTAACCCAGCTGTTGACCCGCTAAACTCTAGTTCACGCCGGTGCCCAATTATGGTCTCACGATTCTGATGTCGACTGATGAACGAGTGAAAAGTTACCTGAAGACGATTTTTGACAAGTTGCACGTCTTTTTGCTGCAGCGCAAAGTTCATCGAATCGTAATGGTTATCATCAAGGTCGACACCAAGGAAACCATTGAAAGATGGGAGTTCACGGTTGACTGCGACAACAAAGTTGGGGATGAGCAGAACGTTCCTGTCGACATGAAAGAGATACAGAGCGGCATTCGTGATGTCATTCGCCAGATCACTGCCAGTGTCACCTACTTGCCACTGATTGACGGAGCTGTTTCCTTTGACATTTTACTCTACACTGATAAAGACCTTGAACTGCCTTCACAAGAGTGGGCCGACTCTACCTCCCACTTGATCCCTCATGCTGAAGAGGTTCAACTTCGAAGCTTCAACACTAAGATTCATAATCTTAAGGCCGCCGTTGCTTACAAAAGTGCTGAAGATTAGAACCGTTCTCATTTAAACAATTCTTACTCTTTCTTAAAAAGAAGTCATCAAACATTTCAGGGATCAATCGTGATGAGTTTCTAAATTTACCATTACTTGTACCTTTTTTCTAGTATTTTCATCATAATCATTGTGATACTGATTTTTACCTAAATAAACTCAGATAACGTACATTATTTTACCTGATGATAATTATCTCAAATCATCTTTGTTTCAAATTGTAAAAGTTGGAACTTCAAACTTTTAAAATTGCAAAACCAAGCGATAATCGAATAAAAAACATCGATTGTTTTCTCCCCGACGCGCCCTCTCCTGGCAGTACAAACAGTTATAAAACGGCTAGTCACTGCAGTTTTGTCTACACTTTGTTTACGCTTGCATTGTCACCTTCTTCAAATCCTCATCAAAATGGAAGAGATTGGAATTATCGTTCCCGAAAAGGTTAGTTTTGTTTGCTGTTGCTGCTTTTATATCACTAACGAGCCTATCTTTTAGCTGGAAAGCGATCACTCTCCTGAAAACAAAAAGGAGCCCACTTTTGAAACGCAACAGAACGAAGAAATTGATGATCTGTACATCAAGTACAAGAAACTTCAAAAGCAACTTGAATTCTTGCAGGTTCAGGAAGAGTACATCAAGGATGAGCAGAAGAACCTGAAGAAGGAGTACCTGCATGCTCAGGAAGAGGTGAAGCGAATTCAGAGTGTGCCTCTCGTGATAGGTCAGTTTTTGGAAGCCGTTGACGCCAATACCGGCATCGTGGGCTCCACCACCGGTTCCAACTACTACGTTCGCATTCTGAGCACCATTGATCGTGAACTACTGAAACCTAGCTCATCGGTTGCTCTCCACAAGCACAGCAATGCGCTGGTTGACGTTTTGCCACCTGAAGCGGACAGCAGCATTGCCATGTTGCGACCTGATGAGAAGCCAGATGTCGGATACTCTGACATTGGCGGTTTGGACATTCAGAAGCAGGAGATTCGTGAAGCCGTCGAGCTGCCACTTACCCACTTTGAACTTTACAAGCAAATTGGCATTGACCCCCCGCGAGGTGTGCTCATGTACGGTCCGCCCGGATGCGGCAAAACTATGCTTGCCAAGGCGGTCGCCCATCACACAACCGCTTCCTTCATTCGTGTCGTCGGTTCCGAGTTTGTGCAGAAGTACCTTGGTGAAGGGCCTCGCATGGTTCGAGATGTGTTTCGCCTTGCCCGAGAGAACGCCCCTGCCATCATCTTCATTGACGAGATTGACGCCATTGCCACGAAGCGTTTCGATGCTCAAACCGGCGCTGACCGCGAAGTGCAGCGTATCCTCCTGGAGCTGCTCAACCAAATGGACGGCTTCGATCAAACCACCAATGTGAAAGTGGTCATGGCCACCAATCGAGCTGACACTCTTGACCCTGCTCTCCTTCGTCCGGGTCGCCTCGACCGCAAAATTGAATTTCCCCTGCCCGATCGACGGCAGAAGCGTCTTGTCTTCTCGACGATCACCTCAAAGATGAACCTCAGTGACGAAGTTGATCTGGAAGACTACGTTGCTCGCCCTGACAAAATCTCCGGCGCCGACATTAATGCAATCTGCCAGGAGGCTGGCATGCACGCCGTTCGTGAGAATCGCTATGTAGTTCTGCCGAAGGACTTTGAGAAGGGCTACAAGAACAACATCAAGAAGGACGAGTCGGAGCACGAGTTCTACAAGTAAAACGCGCGCGCACGCACACTCTCTGCTCTATTTTATCTCAATTTACAAATGTTAATTTATGAAGTACACAATTACACTATTCTTGTAACCACTGCTAGAGCCCTCTGATAGCGCTCTAGTCCCCCTTTTCACAGTAAAGCTAACCATTGTAAAAATATGCCCTTTTATACAGCCAATCAGGCGGAGAGAATACCGTCGGTGATTATCGGCTGTAATCGAATAGAGAAGTGGGAAGTGAACGATGACAGTCGCACTCTTTCTCTCCCCTCGCATTCAGTCATATCAGCCTCGAATATGTTCACACAGATCAGGCAGACACAGTTCCACAGTACGTGATAATCTACTCGTGCTCCGCCGTCTCGGGGTTAGCGCCCTTTCTGCCTTGATGCTTAATTTTCCTCCTTTCCTCGCGCAGAGATAGCCCTGCAGCTCAAGCCAAACGCTGTGGCGGTGGTTCTCTTCCCTCAATTCACACAGGCACCACTTTCGGCTGCTGCTGCATCAGCTTTAGGCGCAGTGGCGCCTGGCGCCAAATCACCACAGGGACGCCGTTGAAGTGCCTGTGCTGAGCTAAGCTTTTCCTGCTTGTGCCGTTGCGCTGATAGCCAGAACAAGTGTTGTGTTGTTGTCTTCCCATTTTAGTGCTGCTGTTGTTTACCGTCTGGACGCTTCATCGTCGCCGTTGAGTGGATGGATCATGTGCTCTACCTGAGTGATGGCCACGATAGCAGGCGCAGGCAGCCCCCGCCACTCGGCGCTGATTGCTGCTGCTGCTGCTGCTGCTTGGATGACAAAAAAACACGTAGGCACCATCCAAATGGATGTGGGATGGAGCCAGACTGCACTGCCGAAAAGGGGACAACTGGCGCCGCCCACTTTGGGGAAATTGCTAGAAGCCGAGCGCACTGTCAGGGGAGAACGGGAAAGGGGAGGAGAGAAAGGCATAGAAGCAGTAGAGGCACTGCAAGAGAGCACCACTGAACGGCAACAACAGCAGAGCTGTGTATTTGTGTATGTGTGTTCGCCTTCTCGCCAGTGCTCTGTCAGCGTGTGCTCTCGCCTTACCAGTTCTCTCGCTCCTTGCCAGCCCCCGCCGTCTTCGGGGCCCAGCCAACACCGTTCTCTGGTCCCACAGTCTTCTAGCTGCCAACAAACAGTCAAGTTCCCCTCGGAGCACCACTTGCTGGCATTGTCATCAGACGAATCATCCCAGAAGCCCACTATTTAGCGTTCCCTTTTGTGTCCCCCTTTACTGAGTTCCCTGTTCTGTTTTGCTGTTTTTCTGGAGTTTCTCACTTTCTTTCGCAATGGCAACCATCGTTAACTCGGAGAATGGCAAGGACTATGATGAGAATGATGGCTACGCGGCCTCTTCCGACTCGGAAGATGAGTCTTCCACCCCGCTCTCTTCGCAAGTTACCAACGGAGTTCCCGTTCCTGAGCGCATCAAGCACCACGCAAAGCGCCCTTCGAAGAATGGCAACCATGTTGCCGTGCCAAGTGATGCCTCGCCCACTGAGGCCAATATGAAAAAGTTCATGAAGAACAGCCGACGCTCTCGTGGCCGCTTCGGTCGAGGCCTCGCCAAGAAAGGTAACCTCCACTAACCCCAATTGTTTGCATTGTCATCTCCTCCGTTTGCATCCATTTTACCAGTCAGCTAGTTTTGGCAGCACTTGTCATTTATCCACTAGGAAGTGTGTTTGAAAAGCAATGCGAACCTCGTCTGGTAGTCATCATCATTACAGGCAGTGTCAGCCATGTTTGCTAGCATGCCTTAGAATACCATTTACCAACAGCTCACAGCAAACGACCGTGTAAACAAGTCGACATGCCTTTGTTTAGTGTGCTACAATCAGTCAAGATAGATACTCGTAGGGTAGGGAGATAAGCCTCAAACCGGCAAATCAAGTAGCGAACTCACTTTCCCTGGTTCTTTCCGCAGTTGCCACACTTTCCCCACTGCTAGCGCTGCTGCTTCACTCCTTCGACCTTGAGACTGGGATCTCGTGATTTCCAGAGTCGTCTGTCGATGCGCACGCATAGCACTGGCTGCTCTGTCGCCACCGAGTGACTTGCCGCGAAAGCAGCCGTTTGAGTTTGAATGCACAGTACAATTCAACTAAGCGTGTCATTGTGTTTTGCTCATTGTGTGCATAATTAAACATTACGCGATATCGACACTTGCAAAATGTTTAAAAACCTAACAATCAATTGTTCATTTCCACTATATAGGCGGTGCTGGCGGAAAGGGCACTTGGGGTGGAATATGTGAAGACTACGCTAACGACAGTGGTCTCATGGACCCCAAGGACCCAAACTATGACTCGGATAACATGGTAAGTGGAGTAATGTGGGATGGATATTTGTAGATGCTAAAACTCTCATCTCCACATAGGAAAACTGCAAGATTGAGGCCATCACTCCGGTGTTGGATGAGGCCGAAATTGAGCGGTATGTGAAGCCCATCATCACCGAGTACTACGAACATGGCGACACCGAAGAAGTGATCAATCAGCTGGAGGACTTGAACTTTGGCGATCGCCTGCACTTGGCCGTGGTCATCCCCACCATCATTGCAATGGAGCGCAAGTCCTCTCACCGCGAGATGACTTCCGTCTTGATCTCTGATTTCTACGGTCGTCTGCTGAGCCAGGAAGACATTGAACGAGCTTTCGACGTTCTCCTGCAGCTCCTTCCTGAGCTACTCTTGGACACTCCCACTGCGGACATTCTGCTGGGCAACTTTATCGCCCGTGCCGTGGCTGACGACTGTATCCCACCGATTTACGTGCATCGCTCCAAGGAGACGTACACCGAGAAGCCAATGCGCACTGCCGTCGAGAAGGCTCACCAGCTGCTCTCCACTCGTCACGGTCTCATCAATGTGGACCAAATCTGGGGCATTTCCGGCGGAATGCGCCCTGTCAAGTATTTGATCAAGCAGATGCATCTCATCCTCGAGGAGTTTGTTACCTCAAACGTCGCAGTCGATGCTGGTGACTGCCTCAAGGATCTGGAGGTGCCGCACTTTCATCACGAATTCGTCTACGAAGTAAGTTTGGATGCTTTTTGCAAACGTGTTTTAATTACAATCAACTTATTACTTTTTTCTACTGTTTGCAGGCCATTGTGAAGGCAATTGAAGAAAGTAAGCCAAACATAATCGAACAAATTTGCTCACTTCTCAAGTACTTGTACGACTCGGGAATCATCACTACGGACCAACTCAAAAATGTATTTTGTTATAACTTCTTTTTATTGTTTCAATTACTCACGGTTTTATTGTTTTAGGGATTTTTGCGGGTTTTCGAGGAGATGCCCGACATTGTCATCGATGTTCCTTATGCTTACGAGTTACTCGACACCATCAAGAGCAAGTCTGAAAAGCTTGGCTTCTTCCCTGAAGAGTTGGAGAAGCAAATGCCCCAAAGGTAAGTGTTAATTTTAAGCATTTTCATATGGCAAAGAATGGCGCAATAATTTGCGTTTATGTGTTATTGCAGAGCTCGCAAGCGTTTCGTTTCGGAGGGCGATGGCGGACTGATCAAGAATTGATCAGTTGGCCAAAGGGATGTTTTTTAACATCAAACCATTGACGCTGCTCTAAAAGCTGATTAAAAAACTGGAAACCATGAAGACAGCAACAACAACTTTAGTTTAGTTTGTTCGTGTCACCTCCTCACTCCCTCACAAAGATTCTATTCACATTTCCCTTTTCAAGTTGTCGCCCACTGCTGGATTTACCTTTTTCAAAATGAATAATTCTTTGTAACTGCGCTTTCCCATTAAACTCTCGCCTACTGATGGCGACTATTTTTTTGCGTGAATCCCAGCGTCTCACTCTCAATTATTCTCCAAACAGTGTTGGATGTCGGTTGTTGTTGTGGTTTATTGATGAATTATTAGATAAATAATAATTATTGAAGAAGTTACGGTAAAAAATAAAAATCGACGCCTATGGCACAAATTAGGAGAGATAATAACACAAGACAAGAAGCAGTATGGCAAATGTAAGAAGGAGGAAGAAGCGGAGAGAAGCGCCGTGTCTGCTGCTGCTGTTTCGGGTGGTCGTAGTGATGGTGGAGGGTTCACTTGCCCACCCGGCTGCTCCAATCGAAGGGACTCAGTCAGACTGCACGCCCACTGCCACTGAATGACTGAGTCCTAAGCAGTAAAGCAGGCCGTGACAGACACTGCTGTGCGGTGTCATTGTTCTTTTCGGTGGTGTCACTGTTCAGAAAAGGAGGAAAAGGAGAAGGAGGCACTCTGCACGGCTGCTTCGGTTAGGTTAGCTGATGGCTTTCTCAGTGATGGATCTCATCAACACCGGCACGCAAAGGCTACTCTCACTGCAACAAAAGGTGAAATGTGAAGGTGAACAGAATAGCAAGTGTGTGTGTGTTGGTTTGTGGTTTGTGTTTGTGGGTTGGTGAAAATCCGGTTAGCTGCTGGTGATAGCTGCAGAATGATTCAGTGTGATGGCATTGGGTAACAGAGTAGGTGGTCTTAGGCTTAGGAATGTGGTGTTCACAATTTAGCTGTCTAGTATCGATAAGCAAAGAGAAAGTTGCATGGGTGTGAACTTGGATGTGAAAGCAATAGAGAGAGGGAGTAGAGATATGATACAGAGTTGTAATGTACAAGCTGTGAGAGTGGTAAGTAGGTTCGGGCAACTGGCGCTGCAGCCAAGGAATCTTCAAGGTTTGGGTTATTCGGAGGTTTGCCTATCATAGTCTTTCACTAATGACAACGTGCAACTATTAACGATGTGTGACTTTGGAGTGGGGAAGAGGAGAAGGAGGAGGAGTAGGAAGAGAGAGAGGGAGGACTTCTTTTTGACTGACCAAAGGTGTTGCTGAACAGTGAACAGAAGCGAGTGGATGGCAGAAAAAAGGGGAAAAACTTAAACAAGGAGAGCGGAAACAAAAAGAAAGAGCAGAGGAAGAGGAGACTAAAACGCTGCAGAATACTCAGGTGATACTCTCTTATTCTACTCGGTAGTGGTAGCCTCGAAGAACTTGTACGTCGGGTTCTCGTAGCCATTGATCTGCATGCTGGCGACGTGCTTCTCCTCCGGGGTGATCGCCTGGTTCACCTCGATGAAGCCCTGGCCGTGCGGAGTTTGGGTGTGCTTGCGAAGCAGCACCACACCGACGATGGTCGCAGTGAGCAGGGCAATGCCTGCGAATGCTAGTGTAATGTACACACTGCCGTTCCACTTTAGCTTCGGGTGGAAGTGCTCGCGCTTGATGGCGTTGAAGTTCTGTTTTGGGGGGGGNGATTAGAAACCATCTGAAATGACCACTCCCCCGTGTTCTCTTACCGCTTCATTGTGGTGAATCTCGTGATTTTGCATGTACATCGGCTGGCTGGGCGCCACCACGTGGTGAATCTCATTCGATTCAGGGTCCTCCTGACTGAGGAAGTCGTCCACAATGGACGGCGTCGAGGAGGGAGTGGAGGTGGTCACTGTGGGCGTGCTCGCCGTCTGACTGACCACGGCCGCTGCGGCTGCGCCATTGGTGGCGTCACTGCTCTCATCCGACTGCTTCTCCTCCTCGGTGGACTCCTGTTCTGCGTCCTGTTCTGCCTTCTTCTGGTTAGCCTCTGCGCGTCGCTCCTCCTCCAGCTCCTTAAGCTCCTGGCGCTTCAGCTCGTCCGCCTCCTTCTGTCGCTCCCGTTCGAGCTGACGCTGGGCCACCTCCTCTTCGTAGCGGTCCATGATGGCCAGCTCCAGCTCTCGGGTGATCTGCGTCTCGATGGGCAGGCCGCGCAGGTTGTGCCAGTAGGCGACCATTCGCAGCTTGATCTTGTCGGCGACGCTGGGCACGCCGTCCAGCATCTGAATGCTCTTGTTGGCCATTTTGATCAGGTCGGTCAGGTGGTCGAGCATCGCCTCCTTGTCCTTGAGCGCCTGCTTGGTGAAGGAGTTCAGCAGGTGCTTGAAGTGGTGCAGCGTGTGCATGCGGTCCTTCTCCAGCGCCCGCAGCAGCTTCTCCAAGCACTTCTCAATCTTCTTCGTCTTTGGTGGCGTGTGCTCCAGACTCTGCGTGTAGCAGTCCATGGCCGACTTCTTGCGCATGTTGATGATCGACATGACGCGCTGCTGGTGCATTGAAATGATCTGCCGCTTCTCGGCAGAGCCCTCCTCCTCCAGCGCCTCCACGGTCTTCTGGAAGCGGTTGGTCATCTTCTTCTTGAACTCATCCGCCGACTTGGGGTCTTTCAACCGCATCTCCTGGTAGTGCTCCTCCAGCTCGCTCCACTCCTTCATCACCTTTTTAGAAAATGGAAATAAAAGTTAGACACCATTAAAAGGTCGACAATTGAGCACTTACCTTTGTCACCTTGGACTTGTGGTCATCCTCCAGCGCCTTTTGGGCGTCCTTGAAGGCGTCATGTTCCTTCTGTGAGTTAAAGTGACTCAGGTAGAACTTGACCGGCGATTCAGTGGTGGTGGTCGTCGTGGAAGTGGTTGTCGTGGTGGTGCTCGATGCCGCTCTCGCCTTCGCCTCCTCTTCCTCCTCCTCCTCGTAGTCGTCATCATCGTAGTAGTCATCGTCTCCATTGGCGTCATTACCGTTGCCATTGCCGTTGCCGTTTCCATTGCCAGTGTCCTCGTCGCTGTCCGAGTCGGAGTTGGTGCTGCGGATTTTGTTGTTGCCGTTGGTATTGCTGCTGAAAGTCTGTTTAGTTTCACTGAGCGCCCCTCCTTCCTCAGCTTGAGCGGTCACTTTCTTCCAGTACTCGCTGTTCTTGTTGCCGCCCACCAGCGTGTGCGCTGAAGCGGCAGCGGCGGCGGCGGCAGAGTGTCCGCCGCCGGCAAGGCCAGTGTGAGGACAGCAGACAAACTCCACGCCGGAGAAGATGCCCACGCCGCAGGGCAGCAGCATGGCATAGGACTGCAGTTTCATCTGTCGAGCGCCGCAGCTGCTGATGGCCGTTCGGTTCCAGTACTGCGACGTCTGACACACCGACTGGTTGTGAATGTGGTCGAAGACGCAGTGCTCCGGCACGAGCAGGGCATCACTCTGGAAGACGCCCTCCAGACAGCGGAACGGCTTAACGTAGTGCTTCGCCTTGCATTTGTTCTGTCCCACCTTGCACCAGTTCTCGATGCGGTAGTACTTATTCGACTCGACAATGTTACGAATGTCCTTCTTTGGGTACACCTGAAAAGGGGACACACAAGTTGCGCACACGCAGAACGGTTAGAGCTGACTTTAACTGCCAAAAGAGAAACACCTACCTTGCGGCAGTACTCGAGAATCTCCAACTTGTCCTTGGTGCAAGTGGCCCGAGAGTCGGGATCGGAGATCCATTTTTTGTTTTCATCTAAGTACTGGTTGTGGAACTTGCCGTGTCCACACAGAATGGCCACCATCGGTTGAAAGTGGCCCAGACTGTTGTCGATGTTGGCCGCCAGTGCCTGGAAAATAAAATGAGGAGGAGGAAGAGGAGGAAGAATTAATGTCAGTTAGAATGCAATCAAATCTTATTGGCGGTATCAGTAAATTGTGCGTGGAAGAGAGCGAGAGAGACAAGACAAACGACGTGCGTGTCTTTATTGCCACTTGGGCAGCAATAATGAAGCGAGTAGCATCTCATAAAAAAGTAACAAGCTAGCACATCCGTCAATTAAGGGGGCACCCGTTTATCGGCGCTACTAATGTATAATGAGCGGCAGAATAGTAGCCGCCTTATCAATAAGTGCTGGTAATGCAGTCAAGGCACCACCGCCACCAACACAACCTCCACCTCCACTGCAAACACAGTGATTCACACTACCGGACTGGTGTACAGTCAACCTGCGGATGTGTCTGATTTCCTCCGAGTGTAAGCAAACAAACTAAACAAGTGCTGATGCTCCAATGCTAAAAAAAGACAATCAGCGGTAGGTATAACGAGATGTAAAGAGACGTGGTAAAGGCGGCATCGACATCGGCAGCCAAAAGGCCGTCGTCTTCTCATTGGCGAGCGCCTAGTGAGCCAAATCGATGGCATTGCCACTCATATACCGAACAGGGCACAAACACACACAGACACATGCTACATGCGAATGATGATGACAATGGATTCTGCTTGTGCAGAGAAAGAGAGAGAAAGAGAATGGCGGCAGAGGCTCTACTTTTCTAGAAGGGAATTGTGCAAGCACCATAAATTAGGCAGGCAGCTTTCAGTAGCCTGGGTAGAGTGGTGTCGGTGTAGTGGCCAGTGCAATGGCTGGGGAGCCCTGTCTGCCCCCTCCCTTCAATAGCGGTGCCCGCAAATGCATCAGCAGCGACACAGGGCACCAAACGAGACTAATTCGCGTAACGGCGTGCGCTCATGTGCTGGCAGTCGCTTAAGGCGGCCAATGGCATCGAGGATGGTGGCAAGAAGATGCGGCCAGTGTCTTCTCCATTCGTCCTCCTTAGACATACATACATTCTCTTTGTGTGTTGGTGTGTTTATGTGCATCTGTAATGAATAGCTCCGACTGCTCAAAGAAGAGCGCACACTTTGACCTGTTCGCTTCGCTGGAAAAACAAGAGACGGCGAATGAATAGCAGAAC